TGAACTTGTGGTTTTTAGAATCTTAAGGAGATGAAAACATAATGATGGATGCTTAATTTAATTTTAGAGCATGTTTTTTGTTTTTGGATATTTATAATGCAGAGAACCCACCAAAGTCAAAAATGTTGGGGGAGAAACACTTTGTGTTTTTGGGGGATTACCTAACTTGGAGGATGTGATTTCAGTTTTCCTCCCTCAAATATTAAAAAGAAGTATTCCAATTTGGATTATTGAATTTTGGATAATGGAATTTAAATATTTTATACATTTGTCATTTTTTTTTTTTGTTTGGTTAAGAAAAAATAGACCATAATTCTATGAAATTAATAAAATGTCATCACCTTAATTCAATCATTTTGGATTTAAAATTTCGGAAGCCCATATTTTAAATAATTAATTAATGAAATTTAAGTTATTTAATTTGACTTTAATGATTAAGTTGAATATGGAAATTGAGTGGAATTACAGTACGATGGTTACAAATGTTGGCACGATTTAAGCCCACGTGAAGTTAAGGAATTTTTCATGTCTCAATTGATTTCTAATTGGACTTTGACCCTAACTTTTTTTACTCATATTTTTCCAACAGTTAACGGTTAGGTCAGACTTAGTGGTCACGAACCTTAGACCTAAACTCATCTTATTACTTTTAATATTTATAGTCAAATTTAAGCACTTTTCATAACCGTGTTTTATCCTTAATGGTCGGCCAAAAACAATTTGTGAAATTACTATTTTGTCATTGTATTTTGTTTGCAAAATACATGACTTATGCTCTTCTATTTTTAGAAGTACATACTTTTCTTCATATTTTTTTTTTACTTTCGTACAATTATTATATTATTTTGTCAATTTTTTATATTCTTCCGTTAAATATAGAAAAATAAATTTATTTAATTTTTGTAAAATATAAGGAATAATCAATAAATATAAGTTCAAATTAGTTAATTTTAATAAAATACAATAATAATTTAATAATTTATTGACTCAGAAGTACAAAAATTTAAGATAAAAAGTAGAACAAAACCATATATTTCTAAAGTGTGGAGCACTAATATAGTTTATTATGATAAAACATTGGGATAAAATTGTAATTTTTTCAATTGTTTTTATTTCTTAAATACAATTTTTATTCTAATTAAAAGACTATTAACAACCTAAAACTATTACTCTTAAAAAGTGAGATGAGATGATAAAAGATTTTTTTTCCATTTACCAGAGGTTTTGAAGTTTGACCTCTTGAGTCTCTTTAAACACTCAAGAGGGAGTATATGTCCTTTTATAGGCTTTTCAGTAAAAAAACCAGATTAATCGAGAGCTTCAAATATGAGATGGTTAAAAAAAGAAAAAAGAAAAACCTTAAAACCATTGCATATGTATCACATTCTCAAAAAGCTATATCCACTTTATCCATATTTCCACTGTTTAAACGCACTACGTAAACATCTTTCTTTCCTTTTCATTTAGGTTTCATTTAAGTCTTTATTAGAAATACATTGATTTTCTAATTTTTATTGACGTATTTTATTTTTTTAATATTATATTTACTATATACTCACCAAATTTTTTTTTTTTTTTCAAAATAGCAAGAAGCAAGCTAACTATAAAGTTGTTTGCATTTAATTAACACGGATTAATCATATTGATAAATTGGTTATAATAATTCAGTTTATGGTATATGTTTTCATTTATTCTACATAATTTTGCATTTCTTTTTCTAAAAAAAAGGACAATAACTTATAATGAATATACCTCAGGATAAATATACATATATAATTAGATTAATAAAGCAATTTACAAGGATTTATTTTCATTAATTTAGATTTGAAATTTAAACTCAAAACCTCAAAATTTTAACAAAAAAATTAATCGGTTAACAACAACAAATAAAAACAAATTTCATAAAAAACCTCCTTTCCACCTAAAACTAAAAAAGAAAATATTTTTGTACAAATATAAAACAGAAATAGCAACTGCGATTAAATTAATAATTGATAATCATTTTCAAGAAATAAGTTAATGATTGATACATACGCGACGTTAGTTATTCAATTTTTTTTACGTATAATATGACGAGAGATATTATAAGATCAACGCCGCATATCAATCTGAATTCGATCAATCACGTACGTCAATATAAATTTTTATTTTTTTCGATTATCAATGCAAATACTCCTATATTAATTTACTATATTTTTTAATATTTTTAAAATACTTTATTGTACAATAGAATGTTCATTAATAATAATAAAAGTTATAATAATAAAAAAGGACATCCATTCTTTCTTGGTATACGGAGTACTATGTTTGAGTTATCAATTAATATATTTCCTACCAAAATGATTGATACAATACGCATGTTAGTTATTCCAATTTTTTTATATAATGATGAGAGATCATATTAAATTATACGAACGCCGCATTATCAATTTTAATCTTGATCAATCACTTTTATTTTTTTCGATTATCAATGCAAATACTCCTATATTAATTTACTATATTTTTTAATATTTTTAAAATACTTTATTGTACAATAGAATGTTCATTAATAATAATAAAAAAGGACATCCATTCTTATCTATGTATAGGAGTTACTATGTTGAGTTATTAATTAATTATATTTTCCTTACAAAATGAGGTGTGGAATGGATTTGTCCAATAAATTGGCCAAATTCTTACCTAAAAAATACCAAAGCGTGAGGCTGCCAATCTCACACTTGTTACTTACAATTAAGAAACACTTTTATTATGTGGTTTAACTTCTAAACTAGATTTGTCTTGTTGCTAATTAGGTAATTAGAACATAAACAAATATGTTGTCCAAGCCAGACGCTTCAAAACAAGCGGTCAAGATTGCTGCCAAGCCAATGTTTCCAATGCCACCAACAATCTAATTGCATGCTTTATGAGTTTTCTATTTATAGATTTTATTATGTGAGAATACATTTCTCAACAAAAATAAATAAATAAATAAATAAAATATAATTTTGGATTCATAATCATATCTTTCCTTACATGGGGAAAAATAGAAATATAATATTGAGATTTGCTTATTTGTTTCTATGAGTATTTTCGTATTTTTTTTTAGTACAAAATAATTTTATTTGAGATTCATTTGTAGTGGGTTTGAAATTTACTTATTAAAAACAATGTTGCCAAGGCTGGATAGAAATTAAATATTTAAAAATTCAAGTGACACATGCTAAAATTATATTCTTTCTGTCCCAAATATAAATTGTTTTAGAATAAATGTTTTGTCTCAAAATATAAAACATTTTGAGTATTTTAAAAAGTAATAAATGATATTTTTTATAAATTTTATACTTATTTATGTTAAATATAATAATTATCTTCACATAACTTGATAAAATTATTCTTAATTTTGTTATAATTTAGAAAAATAAATTATTTCTTAATACAAATCTCAAATGAATTATATTTTAGGACCTATGAAAATAAAAAATGTATAAACAATTTTAGTAATTTTTAGGTTTGGTAGATCACAACCCATCAACGCGTTTAAATAGATATTGTCCAATCTCATTTCCTTCCATGAGTCGACACGTGGCACCCACGAGAAATAAATACTCCCCTACTTCCCTTCCTAACTCAACGAAGGACAGCCACTGCAAGAAGAAAGTTGCAGATATTTTTTTTTAATAAAAAAAGAAAAAAATTTAAGGAAGAGTAGAAACATGCTGCTACAAAGGTCAACATTAGGTCACACGTGGGAATTCACGATTTGCGGAGATATTGAACGGCAGGGATGTTGTCAGAACCCTTTTCACTTACTTTTTGCAGGTGGGACCCTCGAAGTATAGAGATGATGTGGCAGATGGAGGCAAGTGTTCAGAATTAATACAAGATGTGTGTTCTGATTTGTGCAGGGTGGGGCACGTGCCCACGTGCTTACATGGCATGTGGGATCTCGACAGCTTGTGCATTCGAACGTCAAAAATTCCATGTCAGAAACTCGCATGATCTCCTCGCTCCAAGTGAACAAAATCAAAATTAACGAAACCTTATCATTCAGCCGTCTTAGCTCAGCTGGTAGAGCGCATGGCTTTTAACCATGTGGTCGTGGGTTCGATTCCCACAGACGGCGTGACGGTTTTACCAAATTGCATAGAGAGTATGTTACTAAATAGCTTTTTAAAATAACAACAATTTTTAAAAAATTTATATTTTTATTAATTTAATTTGTAAAAGGAGTCACAAATGAAATCTAAATATACAAGTTGACGATTTTTAATTTAATTTATGCTAACACTTTTATACACTCACCAATTTCAATTTATCGGGAAATATAATCAGAATTCATATAAATTCAATCAAGAACTAAAAAAGGTATAAATAGCAAAATGTCCCTTAGAAAATTTAGAATCAGATGAAGTCAACTGGGGAGATGTCAAGAAGAAGAATCCAGTGAAAAAATTCAATTATGAATCAAAAGAGGCATAAATCACACATATCTCTTATAAAACTTAGAATAAAAGGAAGCTACATTGTCAATTAATTACTTAAAAGTATTGTATTTTGAGTTGGCATATGGACTAAACAATCCAAAATTATTTTTTAAAAATTGTTTTCACTTTATTTTTTGCCAATGAATAATAAAAAATAAATTCTTTTTCCAAAAAACAATTATTTTTCATTGTTTTAATTCATGTACAGACCGGATTTAGATGATTCAATCCCTAATTGAATTAATTGGCTATAAGAAGCACTTAAAAACTCACTGAAATAGTACTGCAGCAATCAGCAGAGGTTGGACTCCAGAAAATATATTTGACCAAAAATGGTTGATTTTGGCTAACAGTAATAAATACAGATGAAAACGCAGGGAACGACAGAGCGAGGAATAGACGAGTATTTGAAAGAAAATCGGGTTGGCGGGGTGGAGTGCTGAGATGGCGCAAAATAAAGGGGGGACAGTAAACCACTATCTTTATAAGCAAGAATGGGGAATCAAACAGCACGAAAGATCTCAAGGCCACATAAACTTGTGGCTCACAATATTTCCTTCTTTGCTGATGTGGCATTCCCCTCCTTTCTTTATTTACTAACTATGACTTCTAACTTCCAAGTCCTCCTCCTTTTCTTCTTCTTCTTTTTCTTCTTCTTCTTCGATCCATCTCTAAATTCCATAGACAAGCAAAATAAATAAATAATGTCTAATTCTGCAATAAAGCTCTTTGGCAAAACCATACCATTGCCTCTTTACCACCATAAAGACTTGTCTTCTTCTTCCTCTTCTTCTTCTGATGAGGATTGTCCTGATAGCGATTCTACTTCTTCACTTGAAAATAAGACTGCAAAAGAACAACAACAACATCAAGAACTTAACAAGGTATATTTCTTTAAAAATTTTATCTTCTTTTTATGTGTTATACTTCATAAAGAATTGAGCTTTAACTATTTGTGCTCTTTGTTTTGTTTTTTTCATGTTCTTATTCTTGATTGCTGATTATTTTATAGTAATATGGGATTTTCTTGTATTTCATAAATATTTCACCACTTATTTATCAATTTATCCACTGTTATCTCTCTGTTTCTTGTAAATGGAAGCATGGATTGTCCATTTTTGTTGAAATCATTATTATTTTTAATTTTCTGGTATGGGAATCAGAACAATAGACACTCTCTGTTCATTGCTCGTTTTACAATTTAGTTGATGACTGCTACTCTTGAATATTATCAATTCCGCTAGACTTCAAAGCTGTTGCTAAATTATAGCTCACTATTACTAGTTCTTCAAAATACATTTGATTTTGCTATTATTTTGACAATGGAATTTTGTAGTTTATAACTTTTAATATTTTTCTTAGGATAATTTTTTTTTTATAAAGTTCCTTAACTTTTGGATAATTACCGAGATGGGTTTCTTTCTTTTTTTTTTTTTTTTTTTTATAATTAACGAGATGGGTTTGCTTTCTTCTTTTTTTTTTTTTTTTTGGTGTACGAAAATTGAGTTTGTTAGTATGTTTTTTTTTTTTTTTTTTTTTTTTGGTGTACGAAATTGAGTTTGTTAGTATGGTAATTTAAGTTTCTGAATCTCTGTTTTTTGTACTATTTTTTCCTTTTAGAAACAGAGTTTTACAATTGAAATTGAATTTCCAACATTTGATTTTGAAATTTTAGGAACGTTCAGCAAAAGAAACCACCAATGACAAACAAGAGAACAGTACTGCAGACGACTCAAAACAGAAAGAAACCACCACCTCATCAGACAACAATGAGAAACCCAAGACAAGCACAGCCGAAACAGAGAAAGAAAGCTCTAACAACAAAAATGGTGAACAAAGCGAAACGAGTGATTCACAAGAAAAACCATTAAAAAAGCCTGACAAAATACTCCCCTGTCCACGTTGCAATAGCATGGACACAAAATTCTGTTATTTCAATAACTACAACGTTAACCAGCCTCGCCATTTTTGCAAGAATTGTCAAAGATACTGGACGGCTGGAGGAACAATGAGAAATGTGCCAGTTGGCGCCGGTCGCCGGAAAAACAAGAACACGTCAGCTTCAAATTATCGTCACATAATGGTATCAGAAGCATTTAAATTAGCTCAAGTAGGAAACAGCACCACAAATTCAACTGTTCTTAACTTTGGATCATCAGCAGATTCTACGCTTTACGAGTCCGTGGCTTCGGTACTGAATCTTTCAGACCAAACATCGAATAATCTCCGAAACGGGTATAAACCTAATAGAACTGAACATAGAATTCACGGAAGTGAAAATGGAGATGATAGATTAAGTGGTTCTTCTATTACGGTTTCTACTCCATCAGAGAAAGTGATAAGTAACTGTAATATGCAAGAAACAGTTCCTTATGCCTCAGGTCAAGTAGCATGTTTTCCGGGGCCGCAATGGCCTTGTCCGTGGAATTCTACTCCTTATTGTCATTCTGGTTTTCCGGTGTCGTTTTATCCAGCACCGCCCTATTGGGGATGTTCTGTCCCAAATCCATGGAATTTGGCATCTTTAAATCCTTGTGCGACACCGAGCTCAAACCCTGGTTCTGCATTAGGGAAACATTCAAGAGAAGGAAATATTATTCTAAATTCTAATAATGTCGAAGATGGTTCAAGAGAAAGTGACTGTTCAGAAAGAAATGCTTTGGTTCCAAAAACATTGAGGATTGATCATCTTAATGAAGCTGCAGAAAGTTCTATATGGACAACACTTGGGATTAAAAGTGAAAAATCAAATTTCAATGGTGGAGGACTTTTTCAGGGTTTTCAATCAAAAAACATCGAAGAAAGAAATTACATTAATGCTGATAAATCTTCTGTCTTGCAAGCCAATCCTGCTGCCTTGTCAAGGTCTCTCAAATTCCAAGAGAGCACCTGAAATTAAAATATATTGTAAAAGAGAAGAACTTACCTTTAACAAGCTTCTAGATATGGCTGCCTGCCTTCTTTTTTTTTTTAATCTTCTTCTCTGTCGCATTATGAACAATCAAGTGTCTTTTGTGTATATTGCGTGTGAGATATGTAACTCTATATATGGAGAATCTTTGAATATCATAAAACTTTCAAATTGTTGATGCAGCAAAAACTATTCAAGACCTGCAGTTCATTGTTTTCTTTCAGATTCTTACCCTCACAGTTCACAGGCTTATTAGGCTTCTTTGATAGATATTTTGTATGCTGGTTTACTTTTTGCTTCTAGAATACTTTTTTTTTTTTTAATTTTATAACCAGCATATGTTATATTTAATTTTTTTTGTCGCTGTACAGAAATTGAGATCATTTATCACCTCAATTAATATCTTATTAATTCTAAAAAACTTATTTACCATTTATAGAAATTAAAATTGAGTTCGTTTTCGCCGTCTTTCAGATTCTTACCCTCACAGTTCACAGGCTTATTAGGCTTCTTTGATAGATATTTTGTATGCTGGTTTACTTTTTGCTTCTAGAATACTTTTTTTTTTTTTAATTTTATAACCAGCATATGTTATATTTAATTTTTTTTGTCGCTGTACAGAAATTGAGATCATTTATCACCTCAATTAATATCTTATTAATTCTAAAAAACTTATTTACCATTTATAGAAATTAAAATTGAGTTCGTTTTCGCCGCCCTTACAGAAAATATTAAATATATATTTATTTATAAATATGGAGGCGAGGGCAGATTGAAAAGATAGAAAAAAGGGTTCCTGTAGGCCCTGACTAAACCAGATAAACTTGAATATGTAGACATATGTAAATATATGTGTAGAAAAGGCCAAGCATCTTTCTTTATCAACCCACAAAGAATCCAAACAACTATTCCAAAAGGTGGAAAGATGAGGAAAAAGTTTTCTTTCTCTACTATCTTTTTGCCTGCTTTTCACTTTCTTTTCTTTGTTTTTTTCCGTTTTTCCTCTCGAAATGCAAAATTAAAATAAATATATTATCATATGATGTCAAAAAGATGATTATATATATTATAAGATTTTTCTGTGCATTTTGGTTGAATTATTAATTAATACATAAAAAATCTGATAGATATATGTGTCTGTGATCCATCAAACCAGGTTGATACATACAGATATAGGAGTGTTGTTATCAAAAGCAGCAGGCCACAAGTTGATCTAAATACTAGTTGTTAATGGGTCCCAAAGCATGTGATACCAATCTTCATTATACAACATATATATATATCTTTTACTTTATTTTTTTCCATTTCTTTTTCTGCTTTTTGCTTTTATATGAAGACAAATATTCTTTTATTTTTTCTGTTTAGAATATCTCTTTATTTCAAGAATATTATATTATTTTTTTCAATTTAAAAAAAAAAAAATCTACTTTTACCCAAAGTTAGCAATGAACAAACTTTCAATTTAGCACCTAAACATTTACTAAATGTTTAATTTGATCCAAATTACTTTTGAACAAATTAAACTTTGAGTTTAAGATAAATTTACCCATTTTTGGCCAAAAAAATTAAATATTAAGTTTCCGAATTTTAGATAATTAATAATTGTAAAAATTAAAACATTAAAGTTAAAAAATATTAAATTGTAAACAGTGTAAAAATCAAAAAATAAAAATAAAAAATATTAAAAATTGAAAACTTTTCTTTTGTTCCGTTTTTTTTCGGCAATAGGATTAATTTTCTGTTTTCATTTTTAAATTTTTAAACATTTTCTTGTTATTTTAAAAATATTTTAAAATTAAAAATTTAATACTCCATCTGTCCCAAAATATAAATAATTTTTGTGTGAATATTTTTTCAAAATATAATTCGTTTTAAGTATTTGAACGAGTAATAAATGATGTTTTCCAATATTACCTTTATTTATATTAGATATAAAGTTACTTTTGATTTTAAGATAAAAATTATTTATTTAAATTACTATTGATTTTTTTATAATTTAGAGGAGAATTAATTATTTCCTTAATTTTCGTGTAAAAACTTTAAATGATTTATATTTTGGTACATATGAAGTATTTATTTTAAAAAAATAGGGTAAATTTTATATCTTAATTAATTAAAAAGTTAATTTTGCACTAAATGGAACATCCAATAAAAAAAAATTCAAAAATTAAATTGAACAATTATCCTTTAAGCAATAAATAGTATTATCCAACCAATAAAGAGCAATCTTAAATTTTTTTATAGATAAATCCAATTCCAACTTTGCATGATTGAAACCTCCCATAAAATCTCTTATCAATCTTGTGGTTCTCCTTGGAGAACAACTTTTTTTTTTTTTTTCTTCCTGGAGAAACCAAACTTTTTGTTTTTTTTTTTGTTGTGTTCAAACCTTATACACTAAATTATGTGGTTTTTTTTTTTTTTTTGTTGTGTATCAACCTTATATAATATGTGGAAACCATTTATACACTATGGAAAGCCCACTAAGAACTCTACTTTTTTCAAAGTAATGTCCTTTTTCTTGAGATGGCCATTTGCATGTCTCTCTCTCTCTTTGTTTTTTTTTAGTGCATATTTTCAACAAGTAGCAATAACTTGAAGTTCCTTTCATATTGTATAATATTATAAGAGCAATATTGATAAAGCAATTCATCTCAAAAGTCAAGCTACACCACTCCAAAAAGGCATAATGGGTTTTTTTTTTTTAAACCGTCAATATCCGAATTTCATTATCAGAGACAGTTTAATATGACTCGGAGTTTAATTACAGTTAATACTTTTTACCCATCTCTGCAGGTGCGATTAGTAAGATTGAACCCGATAACTCTTCTCACATGATCAATTTACGTTGTCAACTGAACTTGCTTTATTTTATCTGCTTCTAGAGTGAAAAATGAGTATGTTTAATATAAGAGCCTAGTGTGTAATTTTATTTATAGTAAACGAATTAAGCTTGCTTTTCAACCTTTTTATTCTCCAACTTTCCCTTAATTTGTGTCGTTTATATATTTTTCTCAGTAGTTGTAACGTGTAAATACCCATATGAATGTACGTATTTATTTTATTTTGGGTAAGCTTAATTCAATGCAGTAGAATAACATTCAACCTTAATTTTATTCTAAATATGAATGTACGTATTTATTTTATTTTGGGTAAGCTTAATTCAATGCAGTAGAATAACATTCAACCTTAATTTTATTCTAAGATAATAATTATTAAATATTTTTATTATTTTTCAGGTAGAAATTCTATTTTATTTTTACATAACTTCAATCATTCACAAAAACGACCCAAATATACGAAATGGTGTGGCCACTAATTCATGACTTTAGCATTACGCACTAAGGTCTTTTGATTTTTCAGGTCATTTAGGGTTGTCTATGTTATCTCATTCTATTCCGTTATCTCATTCTATTCTATGATTTCATATTTATTTTACTGATGTAATAAATTGTTTTTTTTAAATATTATTGTTACAATAAATCATTTTTCAAGGGAAACAAAAATTTGAGTGCACCTTTACATTCCCACTCCCAAAGAAAAGCAAGAAAAATCATCATCATCATTATTATTATTATTATATAGCTCAGAAATTACTTAGTGCAGACATACATAAGTAATTAATATTAATTAAGTAAAAAAAAATTATCCTATACAGTTTGATAATTTTTTATTTCTAATTATAATATTCCAATGCAAATTAACTACTTGATTAGAAGACTTCCTCGTTCATGCTAGTGGGGAAAACACATAACAGATAACTTAATCTAGACATGCAACTTGTGAAACTATTATTATTATTATTATGGGGAAAACACATAACAGAATAACTTAATCTAGACATGCAACTTGTTGAAAAAACTATTAATTAATTTATTATTATTATTAAATTATTTATTATATTATAAATTAATTATGTATAATAAAAAATACTATAGTAATTAATTAAAGTGGAAACTCTTTGGTAACTTTAAAATTTCCAATGCAAATTAACTACTTGATTAGAAGACTTCCTCGTTCATGCTAGTGGGGAAAACACATAACAGATAACTTAATCTAGACATGCAACTTGTGAAACTATTATTATTATTATTATTATTATTATTATTATTATTATTATTATGTATAATAAAAAAATACTATTAAGTAATTAATTAAAGTGAAACCTTCTTTTGTTAATCTTAAAATTAGGTATAAAGCAGTTCCTTTAATTATGAAATGAAAAATTAAACTTGTCATGGAGATGGCGGCAACTGGATTCATATAATAATCCATTGTGATTAGATATTTATTGCACTTTATTATCAATTTTTTAATTATAATTAGTCGGCATAATTACGAGTTCAACATAGTAACAGACTAAAAAAAAACTGTTGGGCCAATTGTTTAAAATGCTATGGCATTACTATTGGGCCTGTTGTGGAATACTGAGGCCTGAAGGGGAGAATTAATGGACCAAGGAAGAGATACATCAGCCCAAACTAAACTAGCCCAAAGGCCTAAATTATGAACTTATTATGTCAACGTTATTACTTTGATTAGCGTAGTCGACCTTCAATATTAAGCTTCGTTTGTTTCCGGAAAGTTTACTTTCTCAGAATACATTTACAAGAAAATTATTACATCTGTGCACAAATAAGTCGGTGTTTATTCATAAATATAAGTTGTTTTGAAAATATTAAGGAGAATCAATGATATTTTTTCAATTTTACCTTTATTTATATTAAATACAATAATTATCTCTACGATTTTCTAAAGGGTAATTTAATCAAATGAATGAATATTTTATTATAATTTAAGAAAATTAATTATTTCTTTAATCTTCTAAAAAGATAGTTACTTACCTTGTTTACTCCTACCAAACATTACCTTAATTTATTTTATTATCTTATTCTAAAGTCCCTGCTTTCTATCAAAAAGAAACGACTTCGAGTTTAACATAATTAATTAATTAATTCTTATATTTTAAAAACTCAAAAGTTAGGTTAAGATTTGGTAAATTTTTATAATATTGTGTTTTGATGACTATTGACTTAATGTTTTTATATATAAAAATATTTTAAGATGTAAAAGTCCTTAGAGAAAATCCAACAATGAAAGAATAAAAACCCTAGAGTCTTTCTACTTTCTTATAAAATCAGTAAATTCTGATTTCATTATCAATTTAAATTTTATATTTTTTGAAAGGAATTTAATGTTATATTTTATCCTATAAGATTTGTGGCATTTATTGAATTAATAAGAACTTTATTGATTATTACACCTTCATAAAACTAATGTGTCGCCACAACTACCCTATGCATTATCATTTGCATATTTGTTTAGTAAAATATTAAGTCTATTAATTTTTTTTTTGGTGTAAATCACCGTGACCCGGACTTCATTATTAGGAGCCGTCTAATCCAGCTCAGAGCTTAGTCACAGTGCCCAAAAGCTCTTCCCGCATGCTCAACTTGCGTTACCAACTGAAACACAACTCGTAAATGTATTACGTTTATTATTATTTCTCCTCAAAAAATAAAAATTTTGTGGTTTCATCTTTTTATAATTCAGTGCCTATAAAATATTTTTTTGATGAAATAAAATCTGTAAGTTACATAATGAGAATCTTAATTATACTTCAACATTCCAAAACATTTTTTTTTTAATTATGTGACACTGAAAATAAAATTGTAGGACTCCCAAAATATATTAAAAATATTTTTGCATATAAATTTTGGATAAAATTAAAGTATTTCTTTATCTCTATTCAAAATGAACCACGTATTAAAATGAAATATAAAAAAATAGAAATGAAGTTTTAAAGAAAACAAATAAAAGATTACAGCCAATTTTTTTATTAAATATTAAATTGTTGTATATATGCAATTTCCTCTTGAAAATAAATCTAAAATAAAAATTTTTATTTTCATTGGTTTCATCCATAATGGAGCATGAGACCAGTCTATACCTAGAAAATATTATATATAAAGGAAGAAGATTTTACTTTGTTAATATCTTTACTCTATTAAAAAAATAACAGACTATTAGATCAGCGAAAGTGAAAATGAGGAGTCTTTGAAAAACTAATAAAAGAATTTTTATTTAAGTATTTTTCGGTCTAAACGTGAAAACACGTGTAAGAGAAAAGAAGGTGTGTGGTGAGCACACGGAAAGAAACCCATAACAGGTGCTAAAATTAATATTGCGTAGTACAGAAACAGAACAATTTCCTGGAAAATGCGTGGGATATATTATTGGATTAGATGACAATATTCAATACTATAGTCTATTGCAAAACTCAAATAATGAGAATGCAGCAAGAAAGTGACGTTCATTTTCAAGTAAAAGTTTTAAATTCCTTTCTTGCCGTGAACAACAGTTCTCATTATGGTTTTTGCTTTCTATCTGGTCGACACTTGATTTTCATTGGTTTAGCATATTTCATGATGTTGACGTAAAATTGTGTAGGAAATTTTACAATTTGAGTTACGCTTACGACACGCCTTAAACATTAGTTATTACAAATTTATACAGCGTCGGCTTTCATCCAATATTTCATCATCACCTGTGATTGTGAGTCTCATTCAACATCTTCTAATTTACCCCATTATTCTAATTAATTACTCTCTCTGTACTAAAATATAAATCGTTTTAAGTATTTTAAAGAGTAATAAATGATATTTTTTTGAATATTACTCTTGTTTATATTAGTTACAATAAATAATTTCACAAATAACTATTATTAATTTTGAGATAAAAGATAATTTGATCAAATTACCTTTGAATTTGTTTTAATCTAGGATAATTAATTGTTTTCTTAATTCTTATGCAAAAATCTTAAATGATTTATATTTTAGGATAGAGAGAGTAATACAATGAATTAAGAATTTAAATAAGGCTCTAAACCAAAATTAGATTTTAGCTTGGTGTTATGCTCTCGTGTACCTGCATGATTGAGCGGCTCCTTTCGTTTTATATATATAGATAAAAGAAAAAAGATTGAGCGGCTCCCTTCGTTTTCCATGGACATAAATTGTATTATTGTTAGGAGTTAGGACATATAATATGAAAATATTTATATTTTTTTCAATTTATAACGTGGGCTTGGTTGGTGTGTCTTCAAGGACACACTGAGAGATGTTTGACGGTGATATATTTATTATATTTCTAAGTAAACAATTATTAAGGATCGATTAGTCTTGGCTGAATGTCCAATTAATTTGTAGGAATACAACCTTTCAATTTGCACAAAACTTCCTAGAAAAATAAAAGAAAGAGATACATATATAGTAATTAAGGAGACTTGACCTCTCCAATGGGGACAAAGGCTATGGTTTCCTTTAACTCGTTGTATAAAAATATCCATACATATTTTCACTTCACCTCTCCAATGGAGAATGTAATAGCAAATGCAATCTCAAGTTGGCTTAAAAGTCTCCATTTAGACATGAATACTCTTTTTGGTATTTTCTTAGATGCGTTCTTGTTTTATTTCCAACCCTTGGCTCAATTTTTCCGTGTCATAAAATACAAGGTTTCTTCTAACAAAGCCAAAGAACATCAACAACATCAAGAAAAGGTAGTGATTAGTAGAGGAGATATCAAGAATTTGATGGAAAGACTAGGAATAGTTTGCGACTTAGATAATGATGGCAAGCTTCAAGAAAGATACGGTGAAAGTGAGGTTTCAAGATTGTTTGAGGAGGAGCCTAGCTTACAGGAGATTAAAGAAGCTTTTGATATTTTTGATGAAAATAAAGATGGGTTTATAGATGGTCAAGACTTGCAAAGGGTTTTGTGTGTTTTAGGTTTCAATGATGGGTTTTGTCAAGTGGAGAAGTGCAAAGAGATGATAAAGGCAGTTAAGAAGGATGTAGATGGAAAGATTGATTTCAATGAGTTTGTTGGATTTATGGAAAAGTGTTTTTGTTAGCTTTTTATTTTATATGATATTCTCGTTGCAATCGCTTTCTTTTCATGAGCTTGACATGATGCGAGTATGATTAAACTTACTCTAACGGATTAGAAACATTATACTATTAAAATAAAAAATGAAAAAAAAAAAAAAAAAAAAAAAATTAATAGATGGGTTCAAGATTGGCAAAGGGTTGTGTGTTTTTTAGGTTTCAAATGATGGGTTTTTGTCAAGTGGAGAAGTGCAAAGAGATGATAAAGCAGTTAGAAAGGATGTTAAGATGGAAAGATTGAAAATAATGATTTTCAAATGAGTTGTTGGATTTAATGGAAAAAGTGTTTTTGTTAAGCTTTTTTTATTTTATATGATATTCTTCGTTGCAATCGCTTTTCCCTTTTCATGGCTTGAACATGATGCCCGAGTTATGAATTAAAACTTTAACTCTAAACGGATTAGAAACATTATACTAATTAAATAAAATGAAAAAAAAAAAAACAAAAAAAAAAACCTTCCCCTTTTTGGCAAATCAGCAGAAAAAGAAAGGTTTGAAAAAAAAAAAAAAAAAAAAAAAAACCTTCTTTGCAAATAGCAGAAAGAAGGTTGCCTATGTCACTTTTTTCCAGAGTCCATAGATGTAAGGATGCTTCATGCATCACCCTTTTATAAGAATTTCTATGGCGAGATTTTTTTATAATTATTTTTATTTTTAGAGTGAGATTGTTAATGTGATAATACCTTTTTTTTTATTATTACCAAAGAAATCTCGGTATTTTTTCTTCTGCATGAGATTATTCTCGTTTAGAGGTTTGTGGTCACTCTTCTTTGTCAATGCTTTTTTTACAGATTAAACCCCTAACTTTATGAAAATCGAATATGCTAATATCTTATGGATGACTTGTCTATATCTTACGTCAAACCAATCAAAAAAGAATTTTTAAAAAAAATTATTGCTGTTTTATTTTATTTTCAATCTAAAGTACCTCATTTGAATTAAAAAAATTTTTTTGATTGACTTAGATATGTAGTGAGCTCAAAATCATACAAAAGCATGCGAGTAAGTCTTTTCCTAATTAGGTAAATGCAATTTACTTTATAAACTTGAAAGGGTCGAATATCAAAGTCATTATAGAAATTTTATATTTATTAAACATAAAATTAGCTCACTTCAATTTCACAAGTGTAATTTTTGGAAAAAAAAAAAACTACCCATTAAAAAATTTGAAGAATTGAATTTAATTTCAGGAGAATTAGTTCAAAGAGATCAGCAGTTGCTCCTACTTCTGTTCTAAACGCTCAAATTTGCGTATCATTCAAGTTCAAGTAATTTGGGTTTTAAATGGTTCCGTAATGGACTCATTGGGCCAAGATAAGCCCAATTTTGGAAACGATTTTATTACTTGTGCAGGCTCCCTGGGCTCTCTTGGGCTGGAATTTATAAGCAGAATTGGTAATATTTAATTATTAACACGCGATACTTGCAAAGTACAATTTATTATTTTTAGTCCAATGAAATAAAACCGCATTTATGTTTATCCAATCACTTTTGTTTATTTTTTGCTTAAAACAAGGGCCGATTACTAAAGAAAAAGCTTAAACGATTGTCATACAACCTTAATGATATTTTGTTAACGGAAGAATTAGTTGTTACAAGTAATATTTTATTATAATTTAAGAAAATTAATTATTTTTTTAATCGCGGAGTAATTAACAAGACAAAGTAAAATCTTATCTTTGAAAAAAAAAATAATAATTATAATAGTAAAGTAATTTTCAAAATGTATGTTATAATAATATAAAATTTAAAAAAAAAAAAAAAAAAAAAAAAAAAAGGAGAGAGAAGTGAAACGTTGCTAGGCGTGTGGCGAGAGAAACAGTAGAGCGGTAGGATAATGTAGCACAAAAAAAAAAAAAAAAAAAAAAAGGAGAGAGAAGTGAACGTTGCTGGCGTGTAGGCGGAAGAGAACAGTAGAGCGTGGATAATGTCAGCAGCAGCAGAAGCAGCAAAGAGTGTACGTTTATTTCTTGTATTGTAATTTGTAAGGAGCAGAGAGATAACCAAACAGAGGAAATTTAGAAACCGTAGTGAAGATAATATTTAAAGACAATTCCAAACAAACAGCTACACTCCATCGCCATGTGAGTAGCTCACAGAAGATTCTCTTGATGAGATGAGGCTGTTCCAACAGTTCCCTTCATCAATGCCTTTTTGCATTTGGAAACTTACGATTTTTGGGATCCTGTTCGTTTTTTCCTTTGCTCAATTGGTGCCTGATTTTTGCAGGCCCATGAGAAAAGGATGTTTTTTCTTTCTTTTTGTAATTTAAGTAAATGAAAGTTTCAGTGTCTCTTGTTTTTTTAGTATTTATAATTCTTTATTATATCATCTTCATTATCAACTCTAGCTAGAACTGATCTATATCACACAAGACCTTACCATTTAGAATGAATGTTTGCCTTAATTTATGGGTTTTAATTTTGTTCTTTTACCCATAATCTCTCTCTCTCTCTCTCTCTCTCTCTCTCGATCCATATGTAATTACCATTATTAGATGATATTTCAAAATGTAATTCAATGAAAAGTATCATGTGTCTGTCTTGTAAAACATAAAATCAAAACTTTCAAGTAACCCTTTTGCTTTGGATTTGTAATTATTGAAGAGAAATTATTATAAGTACAGAAGGTGATCAATGCAAAGTTGAATAAGAATACTAGTTGATTAAAGAAATTAAATTTAATAGTAGGAATTATTTGTTTCCCCAATTGACAAGGTCTCATCTATGTGAGAGAAAAGGAGGAGATTACTGCAAACTTACAAGGAGAAAAGAAATTGGTGGTGAGACATATATATATATATAACATAAAGAAGACTGATGCAGACCTTACCTAATTAAACTAAAAATCCAATTTTTTTTTTCTTTCTGTTCTAATTTTTACCTCTAAACTACAGCCCCCTTTCTTCACCTCACATACAATAATAATAACAATAACAGTAACAGGAGTCAAGTGGCTCCTACTCCAAGAAAGTCAAAGAATGGTGGTGGAATAGTCTCAAAATGGCTCTCTGGCAGTGACGGAGAAGAAGCTTGAGCTGTTGTTGAATCTGATGAGAAAGAACAATAAGGGTTTTGGTAGCAGTTTGACTGTTGCATTGCCATTATGTATGGGTCTTGTTGTTGGGTAAAGAAACCAGGAGAAATAACATTATTGTGGGGTTCGATATTATTATTATTACTTGGCCTATCCCAAGATCTGTTCTGCCTCAACATACCCATCATGTCATTGCTCTTGGGACCTGCAAACGCACCAGAACAATCACTAACTGTGAAAAATACAACTCATTCAACAATTTCAACCAACACTCTAAACTCAAGAAAGTGAAAAAAAAGATTACTAGTTTGCCATAAAAGAAACCAATAAGGAAGCAGCACAGAAACCCAAACACATATACCTATATAAATATATATAAAGATTATTTTTTTGAAAAAGTATAATATCCATACCAGAAAAAAAATCAAAAGGTATGCTTGACCCTGCTTGTTCAGCAACATTGAAATTTCCAATTGGATATGGAGACATATTGGTAAAACAGTATGGCTGTGGCGGTTGCGGTTCTGGGTTTCTTGAAATAAAGGAGGTGGTGGTGGTGGTGGTAGTGGTTGTGGTTGAAGTTTCTTCTATTCTTCTGTAGACCGATTGGCTAAGCTTTCTTCTTCTGTAAGCAGTGGATTGTTCCCTATATTTTCTAGCCATAATAACATGCCAATGGTTTTTCACTGCATTATCAGTTCTTCCAGGGAAAAGTCTGGCTATCATTGCCCATTTGTTTCCATAAAGTCTATGAGCTTGCATTAGTCTTTCTTCTTCTTCTTCTGTAAATGCTCTTCTATTTATTCTTGGATCCAACTGGTTAAACCATCTCAATCTACAGCTCTTACCTTCAATATTAAAAAAAATAAAAATAAAAATAATACACATCTATATACAGTGAGAAAAAAAAAGAGGAAAATGAACAATTAATAATTAATTATGTATACCTGATCTACCCTCTAACTTCTCTGCTATAAGATTCCAGTTTTGAGGGCCATAAAGTGCAACCAGTTCTTTAAGCTTTGTATCTTCTGCAGGTCTCCAATGGCCTCTTGCACAGAGCTTTGACTGACCACTGCTATCTGTTTCTTTGCCGCTGATCATATTTTCATTATTAGGGTCGATATTGTCATCGTTTATAATAGTTGTATCATTATTCTCTCCAAACCCATCACTAAAATCATCACAACCTTTACTCTCCATAAAAGGAAAACCCCAAGCACTGCGTGTAGACGAGGAAGAAGAAGAGACAGGGGGCTGTGTCACTCCTCCTCCACCTCCATGATTACAAGTGAGAGAGAGAGAAGCAATGTCAGCAAGAACCATACCAGAAGAACTGGAAGAAGAAGGAGGAGAAGATGAAGAAGAATAACAAGAAATGGCATTTGATGGTGCATATATAACACACTTGTTGCTAGCCATGCCTTCATTTCTCTCTGACAGATGCTGTTATACAACTGTTACAAAGTCATACTCTCTGCAACTTAAAGATATGAGAAGCAAAACCCTTTTTTTTTTTTTTTTTTAAAGAAAAAACAAAGAAACAAAGAGAAATAAATAATAATAATGAATTGAAGAAGAGAAAGGATAGAAAAACAAATCCCTCTTGCAGTGGGAAAAGAAACTTAAAACAGCAAAATCTGCAAAAAGATTAGTGCTTTAAACAGACACCTAATAACCCAGCTACTGACTCCATATACAAGAGAGAGAGAGAGAGAGAGAGTAAAGAAGAAGAGAGGTTCAAAGTAGTTAACCACGCTGACTGACCCATTTTTAATCCATATATATATAAAAATAAAAATAACTAATTATTAATAATATTTAGATGATCGCACGTATTAAAAGAGAGACCGATCACACGTGTGAAAGTGAGAGACAGTCTCAAAACACTGTAGAAAGGTGCTTAGGCTGTCTCTCTGGATATTGACAAGAAAGACTGAAATGTTGAAGTGTTGCTACTTTGCTAGGTTGAGCTTCTACACCCTTTCTTTTCATGGGCCACAAGTATATATTTTGAGCTTTGCATTATATCCTCCCCTCTCAACCGCCACTAAATAGCCTATGTCTAGCCCTAATTAATTTTAATTTTTTTTCTATATTGATATTAATATTACTGCTTCCATAACTCAAAAAATCACTATGATTTATTTAAAAATGAGAAGGAAAAAAAAAAGATAAAATAAAAATAATTTTTAGAAAATTTAAATTTTTATCAATTTTAAAATCCAAATTAAACGTTATTTTCTAGTTTTATTTAATCCGGAAGAAAAAAAAAAAAAAACTGAGATTCAAGTTAACCACCTGAAGTTGACCCAGCAACCAAGCAAGCACACAACTCCTTGTTACTTGAATCTATATATATTTCATGTGTCCCTTCTTCCACAAACTAGTTATAACAGCCCAAAAGAAGACCTGTTGCTTCTTTCTCTGTGTCACTTTCATGGAGTCTGTTCAATCCCTTTGGTTACTTACTACTACATTGAAAAAAAAAAAAAAAAGGGTTTTCAATTTATACTACTCCTGTGTAATACATGCAAAATTTGAAGAACTTTTTTTTTTTTTTTTCATTTATGTGGTCCTGTTCCATCACATACAATACTATACTTTGTTTCATCGTTATTATAAGATATGGTTATGATTTTAGTACATGTGTTTGGTTATGAGCTTGAACAATTCTAATTTCCTTTTCACCTAATCACCTGGACTGGGACCTAGCAAGTGAAAGATAGAATTATCATTTTTTAGGTTTAAAAAATGAGAATTGGAGTGAAAGACTCAAAAAAACTTTATTTTTTCTGGTACAGAGTGGCTCAAAAAACTTTGATTATGATTAAAGGGATTGATATGATAAGTCAATGAGAGATATTTTTATATAAATATTATTCTTCACATTCTAAAAATAAACCCTAATTAGACCAGTTAAAAGCAAGAGCACATTTCCATGTAAGGAATGTCCTGAGACTGCACTTTTCCATCTCCTAAAACGCAAACCCAAAAGCATACATAAAATATAAAATGAAATTGCTATGTTCGTTCTTTTTAACCCTTTTTTTTTTTTTACAGTGTTTCACAAACAGTGAAAAACCCAATTGAGGGACGTTTCTTTTAATATGGTCACAGTGGAACAGGAATGTACTATGTGTACATAATAATTTACAGATCGTAATTAAATAGAGAGGGGTTGGGTTTGGTCAAAAACTTTGAAAAGGCCTGACTTTGTATCGGAAAGAGACCAAACTAAACGACTGTAAATAATTGAAAAACTCACCATTTGCAGTTACTTTGGGGGGTCCTACCCACACCCAAAGCATAAGTTTCTATTCTGTGTCATTCATGTTCATCCACTTCCCCTTCCAACTGTGTCTTTTGGCATTTGCTTCTCTTACCAAATTTCATTTATGACTTACGTATCTTTGCTTTATAATAGTATTAAAGATTAATTGGATCACTATCTATATAATTTTGATGTCATCCTGACCCGACTTCAGCTGCAAATACACCCTTCTTGCTCTGGGAACTTGCAACATGACATATGTTGATTTCAAGACTACCCATTAATGTATTTTTCTTGATTACTTAGGATTCGGTTAATTCTATTTTATGCTTGCCTCACGTATTTTCACGTTTCAGCCATGATTGTTGATATGGTAAAATTCCGTTCTAACACCTAAATTCACATTTCAACTTTACAATTTTATGAAATTAGTTGAAATTTGAATTTCGCAAATGATACTGAACACTTCAACCTGCATATTTTGGTAAACATTACACATTTTTTCATATGAACAATAATAAATTGTTAAGATTTTTATTCTTTAAATGTAAAATATTTGTTTAATATGTAATTAACATAGTTTTTGAAATAATAATTTTTCATATTTTTTTAACTTTTTAATTGAGATTTAATTGATTAAATTTTACAAGTTGAAGTATTTAATAAAATAATTTTACGAATTGAAATGTTTAATATATGTAATTTTATAAGTTAAAATATTTAATAGGTCAAAATAAAAATAGAGGGTGCAATAAGATTAAAGTACCACTAGTATGATATACTCGGCCGGTGCAGTCACTTAAAAATGAGGACTTCAAATTTTAAATCTCAGTTTATGAAGAAATTGAGTAAGAAGTGAATTTATTAAAGTTTTCTTGGCTAAAGATAATTTTGATTATTGTTATTATAATAACAATAATAAAAATTATTGCTGATAAAAAAAATAAATATAATTGATTTGAGTTGATGAAATCGTAATAGGATTAGGTTAATTCTTAAATGTACCAATTCATATTGTTATACAAATATTTAATTTGAAAGCTTCCAAAAAAATTGAACAGATAGGATAAAAACCCATGTTGCATTATGTTAATAAAGAAGAGACTTTTTAACCTCCAAAGGGACCATTATATATTTGTATACATTTTCAAAGAAAAGACAATAAGTCATCTGGTCTCTAACTTTTCAGACACAAAGTGTAAGGAAATGCCTGTGCTCGATTGACAGCTTAAAATAATTAAAAAATCTTAAAAATAGTGTAAAATAAAAATAAAAATATTTACTCCCCATCATTCATATCTTCTCAATCAAACCTTGCCCAGATAGTAAAAACTATGTGCTTTCCTCTTCTGCTTCATCTTCTTATTATAATTGTTCTGGCTTCTGCAGCTGGGGTCTCTGATATCTGCTTGCTTCTATTCCCACGTGTGGCTAGTTCTTTGCACGTGTAACCCTTTTGTCATGAGCTCAGTGTTTGTTTGCATGGATTACTCTTATCTATCTTCAATTATTATTACTGACTGCCTTATTCGAACTTAGGATGCCCCTTTCTCTCTCCTGTCCTTTCCATTTATCTTAGCCCACGCTCTCACTAGAGCATCTCATTTTCACGCGTCTGCTAGAACCCAACCTGGCTATTTGGATTTTAGATGCAAAACCAGAAAGAGTTGCTAGCTAGTTATATATCTTCAAGTAATGAATGAGACGACAAGGGTTTGGCATTTTGGATTTGCTTAATTAATTGCAATTTTCGTATTGTCATTAATTACTTGTTAGAGATGTTAATAATTGTAGCTTAGCTTAATCCACTAGCTATAAACTTTAACTCAATAATGTTAGAATCCTTTTTGGCTGTAAGATTGTGTCTTTGAACCGTATCTTTCAGAATATAATTAAATTTTCTTACGCAGCAACTTTTTAAGTAGTTTTTCAAAACATCATTTGCTATTTTTTACAATGTTCGATAATATAGCATTTGAACTAATCTTTAGAAGTTAGAATAATGTTTTATAAAAAATTAACTTATATTGTGTTTAACTTGTAGCATTTTGCGAAAAACTATTCAAACAACTAACATCTAAATACCACTAAAATAATTAACAATTATAAAAACAACTAATTTTGTCAAACAATCCCTTAATGAACTAAATAAAAACCCTAGTTTGTTTTCCATAACATGATCCTAAAAGTTAGTTTTGGGATTAAGTTCAGAAAAGGGTATCAAGTTTTTCTATACAAATGATCCAAAAAAAAGTGTGATTGGAGCAAAATCCAAACATGGGTATGACCAAATAAATAAGCACAATAGGGCCAAGAGGGGGGGTGTTAGTGGACACAACATGAAATAGAGAAGGTGGCCACATGATGATGTGAGACTTTAGATGAAAAGATGTTGAAATAAAGAACCAAGAAGCAAAAATATTGGAAACAGGTAGGAGGTTCCATGTCTAAGAAGGGGATGTGTTCCCTTAACACTCCAAGCTCATGTGCTTTAGTTTGTTAGATTTAACATCAATGAAAGGAACATGCTTTTGGAATGACCCATATTACTGTTATAATTTAGGGCTGTGGTCAATGTTTGGTTTCAAATTGAAATAAAAATCAATTTGGAATCTGTGTGGATTTGACCTTATAAAATTATTGCTTTTTAAAATTTACAGTGAAATCAAATAATTCCATTCCAAACTAATTTTAAAAAATAAGAAAGCTTTGAAAATTCAAACTCAAATTCAAGACCTCTAATTTCGTAAATTAATGAAAAGACTAATCTAATCACCACCTCATTAACATACTCTATAGTATTTAGATGAAAAAATTTCGTAAATTAGTGAAAAGACTAATCTGATCACAACCTCATTAACATATTCTATTGTATTTAGATGAAAAAAACCTCGAATTTGAATTATATAATATTATTAGAAAATTAATTTCAACGACCATTGGATATAAACGAATTATTTTAACTCGGACTAGCAACTATACTCTCCCTTTCAGATTAATCTATAGAATTTAAAATAAAATACATACAAAGTTAAAAATGAAAGAATATCAAGATAGATTAAATCAACTGCAATCCAAATAAAAAAAACTCGAATTTAAGATAACATCAAAATTGTAGTTGATATAGATTAAAAAAAATTTTGAAAGTTTTAATTACCATAAATTTCATTTGGTTAAAATAAAGAAATAAATAAATATATACCTTCCAAGGAGGGGAACCACAATTGCATGAAGGAGAAAAAGAGGTGACAGAACACAAAGTAAGGTGTGTGAGTGATGAAATGAAAGAGAGGTGGCCCACAGTATAAATAGTAGGGCTGATCCTTAAGATTCTGTTGGAGCTGTTCCCTTGGAACCATATGGAAGGGTGGTGCCTTCTGTTGCTATAGGGTACCCCCATAACTCACTACATGACAATTCTAATACTAAGCAGTTAGCAGTAAAATAGAGAGAGAGGCTATCCCTCTCCTATAGATACAAACAAGAAAACATCATATGCATGCTTTAATTCGGTTCTCTCTCCCTCTCCTCTCTATATATAATGTTGGATGTGAAGCATGGAAGTCGGTTAACTCTGTCTCAAGCCACAACTACAACAATAATCAATTCTCCCTACCCAAACCATGTGAGATGTGACTCTGTTTCCTGACTTTTGGACCTCTTCTTTAAGGCCTTGTTTGGTTGACTCTCCAATTAACCATAATTCTATCTTACATAATGCACTTGCAATTTCAGACTTTTAGATTAAAACTTAACAAATATTAATAAATAACTAACAGATGGTACACATACTGCTGATGGAAAAAGAAATTTAAAGAAGGGAAAAGGAAATTAGTAGACATGCAGAAGGGTCAGTGTCTTTCTAAGGCCCTATAAGAACAGACTTAGTGTTGTTACAGTTATGAGATGTGTGACATTTTAAGACCCACTTCTTAATGTTGAGGGACAGATTTCTGCTCAGGTATAAATGCTTTTTTCAGGGGATTTCAAATTTAACAACCCACAGCACAAATACATTGATGAACATAAATAATTTCTTAATATTTTCCCTTTTGTTGAATAATTTAATTTATATTTTTTATAGCCAAATACATATATTTACCTCTGTACTTTACCACAAAAAATTTTATGACACTCCAAACTTTGCAAGCGATCTATTGTATCTAGAAGTTATAAATTTTAGTAACATTGTAACCTTTTCCGTGCAGAATATTTAGTTTTTTCCGTGCAGAATATTTAGTTAATGCTCACATTTTTAAAAGAATAATGCTCACATTTTTCAACTATCTAATAAATATTTAATGATATAATTTTATAAGTTTGAGTGTTTAATATAATAATTTTGCAATTTGAAGTATTCAATAGATACAATTTTATAAATAAAAATATTTAATAGATTAATATAAAAATTAAGGGTGTCACAAAATTTTTTACATAAAATATAGAGGTGATTTATGCATTGGGGCATTATTTATATTATATGATTTTTTCACTTCCATATTATCAGAAAATTGAAAATCCATCTTCTAATTTTTCATAATTAGTTGAGTAAATAAAAATATATTTAATATAAGATTTAATTAAATCTTAATTAATATTAATCAAATGTATCTTCACTCATTGGGTTATGACTAAATTTAGTTTGCGCTAGATCCACGTATTAAGAGAAACATTTTCTATAAGTATTTACTTCATCGAAAAAGATTGAATTTACTGTCTCACTGAAGAGAAGAAGATTGAATTTACAATCTCACTTAAGAGAAAAAGAGCATCAAACCACCTATTTCAGCACTTAATTATATTAAAGACCAGTAAGCGCAGAATAACTTGCATGGCAAATGAACATGCACACATATATGATTTTATGGCATACATGATGATGACATCCAAATAGATAGATGAATAAACATATTGCATGGTCTATTCCACATCATGTGACCCACAAAACCCTAAAAATGAAAGTCTGGAAAGCAAAAAACAGTTGTTCAATTAGGTTGAAATAACAAGAACTACATAGGGAAGGGGGTAGCATGCAGTAGCACTAGTACAAAAACACAGCTATATATAATAACCTATAACCAAAGGTGAAGTCAGCAGATCATAGGGTTTTGTGAATAGGAAAGTGACATTGATTAGGGTTTCTTTCTTTCTTTCTTCACTTTTTTCATTATACTATACTCAATTTGTGAGTTATCCATACAAGTGAATGCCTTTAATTTACTTATCATACCACTTATAGATAATAAAGGTCGACAGAAGTTACTCTGCCATGTAAGCCTTTGCTTAACAGACCAGTAAGTTTTCAGTAACCATCGCTGATACAAAATGGATCAGAACCCAAAAAAGCTAGCTTTTTAACACCTGACATCATTATCACAAAACAACTAAAAATTAAGACTTTATATGATGAACAGGGAGGGTTTCACTTTTTGTTTAGTGGGTTGATTTTATATTTTCTTACTTAGTTACAATTTTAAACAATTTTTGACATATTAATTAAGGGGTAAGCCTAAAATTTTGATGGGTTCTGGAAATTTTTTGTTTTGGGGAAGAAGATAAGTAACTGTGCATGGCGGTGTGACAGATGAGGAAGAGGGAGAAAAGAAAAAAACAGGACAGGGGTGTTGATTTTGTAAGAGATTTTCTAACATTGATTGGGGAAGGGACACAGCTTTTCTAACATAGAGGAATTGTCTGTACCTGATGATGTTACTGAATAGTTAAATAGCTTCTTCTCTTCTCTTTTTATTTTTCCTATTTATCTGATCGACGAAGAAGAACAAGTGATTGTACCTGTCCACGTGCGTAGACCCCTATGTGCCGTTCCATACAAACAGAGCAGGCCCAACGGTTCATGGCCCTTTCTGTTCCGTACAATAAACCCTAACTCATTATTGCATTGTAATAATAATTTTATTTCTTTTTTATTTATTTATTGTGCTTGGAAGGTTTTCAAAATAAATGACAAAAATTACTGTCTCTGTAATAGTGTAATTCTTATGATAATGATAAAACTGGAAATAAAATTAAAAGATTTGATTGAAAGGATTACCTTATATTGGTAAGTGGGTTTACTTTCTTTTAATTAAGTTTTAATTTTACAATCAGTTCCCGAAATGAATGATTAGTGTTAAAAAGCTAAGTTGGAATATCAAGATTTTTTATTGCTTTCCACGCTAAGACATAGTTTAATGATAAATATACGAATGATCTTACAAAAAATTCAAGTTCGAATTACTTCTCTCCCAATACTCAAACAAGAAAAAAAGTTTTTGGTTATTTTGTGAAAAATATTATTTTTCTATATTTTCAGCATTTGCATCGTCTAAAATATTTTAATTGTTGGAAAATAATAAGAGATATGGCAGAATACATCTTCATATATCAAATCAAATTACCACAATCTTACACTTAAAATTACGAGCCAATGGTTATTTCTACACACCATTGAATCACGTGCAATCAACAGAATCAGCAGAAGAAGAATCTTGGTAGTTAGAGTCATTTACAATAATTTCACACTTCAAATTCTTGGGCACTTGATGATTATCATTTACAACCGAAAATTTGGTAATTTGGGGCTGAAACACAAAATGTTTATGAGCAGAAGTAATTAGTTATGCCTAGAACATTTAATTAGCAAAATTGAAGTTTTGATAGTGATAGAAGAAGCACATGTCTAACTATGGAAAAAGCTCAATCAATTTTCAGCTAAACAGATCCCACTGGTCACTTTGTATCCATTTAAAGTGTCAATATGAGCCAGATTAGTTTCTGCCAAGTCATCTACGCCACCAACCTTTATGCATAAGACTATAATGATAATTGGTGATTGCAGTGAATAAGGCAAAATAGGTGTTTAAAATCCTGGAATTCAGGTTCTGTAGAAATATTCGTTCCCATCCTCCCACGTAAAGAAAATGGCAGCATTAAATTCCTCAATCATTCTTGTTAGAATCCATTTGTTCATTTAAGCCAATTCCATTTGACGCAATTTAATCATTTCCCAATAAATCAACATTTCAATGACCAATAAATGCATGCCCCTTAGGATAACATCATCAATTTCAACAAACAGTGCAACCCAGCTGGGACACTGAACAAGAATGCAGCCAACCATCAAGTATTTTATCATCCACTACTTGGGAAGAAAAATTCGTCAACATATAGATACAAATAAAGATGAATATTAACTATTTATCTTTTTTTTTCCTTTTTGGTTACAGATAACTGTATAAATACAGACGTCTTCTATTGCAGCAAAGCTCATGTGTAGGGTGGTTCAATGGCATCACCAACATCAGTCTGGTTTGCTTTGAAGGAGCGTGTTTCTTGCTTTTTGCTTGACCGAACGGCCTTTACCCTCCAAACTTCCATGTTTAAGGTAAAACACCTATTGCAGGATCATCAGCAAAACTCCATTCTGATTGATTTCCCCATGTCATCAACTCCTCCAGAAACCATCAAATCCCCAGGAAAGAGTATTTGAGTTTGTATCGTACGTCAACCTGATAAGGGGAATTGAAAATTATGGCCAGTATAGACCTCATGCGTGTAACATTAACAGTCTCTCTTTCTCTATTTTGATCAGCATCCCCTGCTCAAACATTATTGAAAATAAGACTTGACAATATGAGATTCTCTTGCAATAAGAGCGAAAATGAAATAGAACAAATTTTTAAGGATATCAAGAGAGGTGAGAACAAAATATTCAGGGGATGCCAAGATGTGGGTCAAATTTGCATACTAGAACAAGACATTCGACAAAGAGTTCATGTCTAGTAATTGCACAGATAGGCATAAAATGAACAGCATAAAAATTAAAATAAGAGAATAACAAGGACTGCACATTGACAGAAAAATAATGTTTGCTTTAAAATTGTTTCAATGCAGAGGTCCCACCAATATGAGGTACAGAGCCCAGGGTAGGGTATTCTTGCATTCATTGAACAGACTGTAAAGCAATTCCAAAGCAGCAGCTGAATAAGAATGCTGATAATCAGTTAATCTATGCATGAACTGTCAATTTCTCTAACTATGTGAAAGAATGCAAAGATATGAAGAAGAATCATCAATTAGTGGAACTCAGTGTCAGACACAATACTCTATATGATTGAATAAATATGATAATCCAACATTTGGTGTGGGCCACGGTTACATTATTCTACTGATGATCCATCACACTAAGACTCAGATGAAAAGGATCATTAAAAATGAGCCAGAGCATGTGATATGAAGATCTATAAAATGTAAATAGACTCAAGAGAGGAATAGCTTATATTCAGCAGTGTGATCACTTTGGCTCAATTAGGCTTGTTGAGATGTGTTGATCGCAAACTTATCTTTCACCACATATATAATATGGATTTGAATCATATCATATACATAATGTGACGCAAATACCTAAAATAATTGTGTATTCACATTTACAAATAATGTGTGCGTGTGTTCATTATAAACATCCAAGAAAAAATACTTGTAATCTTTTGCATTGGTATTAGGATATCCTTTTTATTTCTATCACTGCACTTCAAATTAATGGTTAAGAAATCAATTTTAACTCAAATTAGTCGCCTCGACTAACAGTTATTTTTTGATTCACAATTGTAATAAGATAAATATATTTTTTAAATTTTCAAGTGATCCCATAGAATGGATTCACCTATCTCTATTTCTTAAACTAAAGGACAGAAATCTTTCCATTCAAAAAAAAAAAAAAACTAATTTATCAGAAATATTTAGTATTCATTAATGGTTTTACTAAGAGATTAAGCATTCATTTGCTGCTAGCTGTCAGCTACAAATAACCATTGAACTATAGACCTGGAGCTTGGAAGGAGATTATAGAAACCCTTTAGGAAGCAGGGAAGCAATCCATATAAAATATAGCTCGTATGCATAAATGAATGAACAATTGACTATTATTTATTTTTTGAATCCCTTCAGAGAGACCGGGCCCACTGGGAAGCATCCAATCACTACCATGTTACTTAAATGATATATTAGTAACTTGCCCCTACTGGTCATCAAAAATGAATGGAATGAATCAGTTGATTTAATTTACATGAAAACAACCTTGAAATCAGAAAGCTAAAGTGTGTCAACAACTTCAAAATGCAGTTGTTAAATCGCCCCAGAGCTAGCAAGTCAACAGCAAAAATGAATAATTTAACAACAACCACCTGAGAACTAGCATGTCATTGGAACTTTATATGCACTCAATTCTGTGATGTCTCAATATCCTCCCAGTGACATTCTAGCATCTCTAACACAGCAGAGTTCTTAAGGAAGTGAAATAGCCCCGAAAACTTTCATGTTCTGTCAAACCGATGGAAAATCTTTCAAGCAGATAAATGTTTCAATGTTAAGGCACATTCCTAGAATAGCCACCAACCATAAGTGCCCAGTAATGATGCCAGTATATAGACGAAAAAGAAGGCAAATAATTCAGTTGCATGCAAGGCTGCCATCAAATGAGATCAAATGAACAAAGTAAAAAAGAAAGGAAGGAAGAAGCTTAAATACAAAATATTAGCCAAGGGGTGCAAAGAAGGACACGATCTCTAACAAAGAAAATGAAAAACATAAACTTTCATTCAAGAAAAGCCTCAAAAATGTTTAGATCAACAGTCTTGATTAATAAAATGGTCAAATCATAGGGTAACTTTTTATTCTTTCTCCTCCAGGCTGCCTATAGCTCCGCCAAACAAGTTCAAGTTCCACTTGTTGATTTGCTAAACAGCTAATAAGTTGAATCTATTCTCACATTTGAAATTGAACCTTCAGCTCTTCTACATTTGTACAAGTTGAGTTTAAACAGTCTTAAGCATTTACCTGGAATTGACTCAACAACTTAACAACATTGGGCAATAACGCTTTCAAGTATACACTCATTACGTGTTCATCAACTATAAATATCTTCATTTATGCATTATATGTTCTAAAATGTAGTATAATGCTAAAACATTGATGAAACTTGATTCCCAGATTCCTTCAAGCAAGATGATTGGCCTACAAGATCAGGTTAGAATGGGTGCCAACTGCCAAGAAGTGATCGACCAGCCAACTCTGATTGTAAAGTCAAAATCTCATGTGATTTTGGTAAAGTAACAGTATAGAATAAATGACATACCTCTTATGGTCAATAGTATGCCTATTTATAGAAAAGATGTTCCTGCGCCTCAAGCTAAGGATGAGGAGGATCAATGCCTTAGGTAAGTTCTAGAATTCTTTATTCGTGCTGGATATCATGGATCATTTGACACACATTCTCTGTGGTCCCTTTGGTTCCTTATCAAGTCCAGATGGTAGGTTCAAACCATCATCCGAACCATATCATTCAAGCTTTTGAAGAGATAATTTTTATGATGGAATTCATCATATGGGAGTCTCCACCATATGATTAATTCTTTTACCACATGTTAGAGCCTTTATCATATTGAAGAGTCTTTGTTACCTGGTAGAATCGCCATTACTCATCAAACACCAACGTTAAAATACTTTATCACTGAATTATTATTTGCTCATTTAGGTGTGCAAGATTCAATTGACTTTTTTCAAAAATGTCAAAAAAGATTAGAGAAAAAAAATGAAACTTGTCCATGGAGTTTCCAACTCTAGAAAATTTATGAGATCATATAGAGATTGCAAATCAAAGGAAAAAAAATATGAAATGAAATTAACAAGATTTCAAATTTTTGATAGAAGGTGCCTGCAGTAGCTCAGCAAATGACCAACACATTATAGATAAGAGGAGAAGACATGATGAGATAACAGTTTCAGCTAAAGCCTAAAGCTTCATATGTATTTATCTTCTATCTTATGTTAAAAGGCCATACAACCAATATTTAGCCTAAAGATAAAACTGGGGATCCTCTGTCTGTGTGGATCAAATTCACACTTCATCCAGAGAGTGTTTTCCAACATAAACTACTTTCTCCCGCAAATTATTGTCTGATTCCTCCCAAATTATAGAATCTTTTTGGTCGCTTTTAAATTCAAGCTTTTATCTAATTGGCATAGTAAAAAAACTAGTTCATCAAACTTCTCACAAGAAACAACTATCGACATTCTGAAAAAAAAGAAAATTTACAATTCGCCTTCCCTGTTACATGTCAAGCAAATATGCAATTTAAAGTTCAAAGCGCCTGCATTACATAGCCAAACATATCAAAGCACGTGTATAAATTGCATATCAGTTGCATCAAAAGCACATGAAAAAACGGTTGCATCAAACCACATTGACGTAAACAAAAAAACACATCAACAATTTCCCAAAACAATCGTATTCTCTATATAACAGAATATACAAAAATTTAAACAATCTACTTACTTATTTCCATCTAAGTCTCCTCAATCTTGCTTAGCCGCATTTCTAGCAATCTTGCATAGAATTCTCCATCACTAATCTTCAACATCTTCCATAATGGAAGCTTAAACCCATATTCGACCAACAATTTATGCCTAGGCTTTATCTTCCCCTCCAAACTGAATGAAAAGTACTGTGGAAATCTCTTAAGTTCTTCTAAATCGCCCTTCATTTCAACCAGAAAGTAGTCAACTTTAGGCAGCAAATTGTTCTCTACACTAAACGTCAAAAGCCCTGGCGACCTCACCACCATTATTTGAACCTCGCTGTATTTCAATCCCAAACTCATCAAGAACTCAATCTTAGCCATCAGGGTATATTCAATATTGTACACAAGCAACAGCGTTGTCTGAGAATTGATGGCGCTGGGACCCACAAACCCAAGATTCCGGAGAAAGATAAGTGCAGGACGTAATTGTTCAGATACACTACAAACTAAGAGCCTAGGACATCGAGAAATGCATTTAGCAATGTCAGGAAACGGGATACCAACTTCATTGAGAAGGAAATCAAAGACTGGATAGAGATAGAGATATGGGTCGGAGGTGAGGAGAGTAGGGTGCATGTCGAGGATGCGACCTATGGCGGAGCGATGGAGGCCCATGCAGGAGAGACAGTGCTCAACGGAGTGAATGGCGGAGAGAGGAGTGGTGCGGAGATCTGGGTTTTGAGTAAGGGCCTTTTGGGTATTGATATTGAGGGCAGTAAGGTAGAGGAGCTTTTCACGGAAGAGGAGGCCGGAGTCTGCGGTGGTTGTTGTGGCGGTGGTGGAATGGGTGTTTGGAAGGCAATTGAAGGTTTTAGAGAGTCTTGGAGAAGGGAAGATAGAGAAAGGAAGGAATTGAATTGCAGAGGAACGCATATTTGCAAAGCGAATCGCATTCAGGACCTTATCATCATCGCAATCGAGTCATAGATTGTAATGCTTCATGTTTCTCTTATCCAACACTAGGCGTATGCCTGCGCTGCGCACGGTTTTCTAAAGTTCCAAATTGATTTTTATTAATAATTATTCATATTTATTGACTCAATTTTAATTTTTATTAAAACTTTATTTTTAAGAATATAATATTTAAATTTTGAAATTTGATCATTTTAAAGAATCATTCATACATATTAATTTATTATCTAAAATAATGTTAATTATATCGTGAATTCTCTCAATTTGAAACTGTATAATTTTACCGTCATTTTAATTACAAATAAAACACAATAGAAAAAAGACTGAAAATTCAAAAAAAAACAAAACTTCCAAACAATTTAAATTTTGAAAGACTATTGAAAAGAAAGAAACAACATTAAAAACAAACTAGACCATATAACTTTTGAAGAACGCATACTCAAATGTCGTATAGCTGCCGCAGATTTTTCTAATTTTTGATGCTATCCTTACTGCTATTCTTACTGCATCCTCAAGAACGAGATAAAATTAATTCATTTGTGCTTAAAATTATTTGTCATCAACCCTCATATCATCACCTCTGTTGTTGTTTCTTTTTTCCAATGTCATTCTGATTACTTTGATATATCTATATATTATTCAAATAAATTCGTACTAATGGTAATTAAACGATGAATGATGTTTCCAACAGAAGACACAGAAAATATACTAAATCGGAACTTATAAGTGAATAGTACTAATAAAAACAGTTGACAGGAAAAAAATGGAAAAAAGAGGACAATTTCATGCAAAAGCACACTAAAAAGGCAATTACTTTGATTTGCTTTGCGCCGTAAGCCCATTTACAAATTTTCAGGCTTGATTGCATTTGCATATACTCAACTTTGTTTATGTACATGAAAATCATGGAATATGCATATGTACAGTAAATGAAAAAAGAGGACAATTTCAATTTCATGCAAAAGCACACTAAAAAGGCAATTACTTTGATTTGCTTTGCGCCGTAAGCCCATTTACAAATTTTCAGGCTTGATTGCATTTGCATATACTCAACTTTGTTTATGTACATGAAAATCATGGAATATGCATATGTACAGTAAATCTTTTAGACCAAATTTTTTCTCAACAATTAGCATACTTATTAATTGCTCCTAAGCATCAAAACTATTTTTAAGGAAATAAGCATTAAATGTCGCCTTCAACTCCAAACCATTTCAGATTTTAGATGGATTTTAGATGGGGAATACCCATTTACATACATATGAAAAAATAAAAATAACACGACAAACTCACAACCAAAATGTATGCACAAATTCAAATGGGAAATATCAACTTCATAAGAATAAAATGAACACATATAAGAAAAATAATAATAACAACAACAACAACAGTACCTGAAAACTAATGCTATAAGATACTTTAAATTCTCCTAAAAAGAACTACAGCACTCCCTAATTACATGCTAATACACAACAAATTAAAATATAAAAAAAAGATAAAAAAAATCATATCATGCCTCAATTTCTTTGGTTTCCAAAAATTAACGGAAAAAAAAAAAAAAAAAAAAAAAAAAAAAAAAAAAAAAAAAAAAACGAGAAGTTAGCATCCTTTACAACCAAGAATAATAAAACTATTATTAGTGCCAAAGTAATCTTCATGTCAATGATAAAGATCTCTTTAAATTTTCGGTAAGAGGCAAAATGATTCATAAAATATAAGAAAAAAATCATAAAAAAAGTCAAAACAAATTGTTGCATAATAAAAAAAAAAAAAAATTATAGAACAATGCATGCTAAAGAGCTCACCATTGTTTAGATAAAAAAAAAAAAAAAAATGTATGCTAAAGAGCTCACTATTATTTAGATGGCAATAATTAGAACTGCGAATAGAGCAAAGTCATACTCATATTGCCACATTAAGGCAGTAAACATGAAGCTAACTTCCATATTAATAAAAGTAAAGAGAGGATTAAAATCAAGATTTAGAACAACTTCATAATACTTTATACTAATCTCAAACGAAATTTAGTACTTGCTATAATATGGATTATAATTGAGACTCTATATATCTAAAATAGAAAAAGTACAACATTTAGTAGCTTGGATTATTAATAGAATTCCACAACGTTTGAATTGCAATAATTCAAAAATCAACTCAAAACGCCCCCAATTATTATCATCAAACCAAATAAAAATCAAACCAAATAAAAATACGCTCAATAATAAATTAAAAGGGAAACTTCAAAAAAATCACAAAAAGAAAGAAAAAAAAATTGAAAGATAAGGAAAATTTCGGCACAACCACAGAATTAGAGTGAGAATAGCAGTGGCACAATGATCTAATTGGCAATACCTATATTAGAAGGGATAATATATTTCCATTCATCTTGGCCGCATGTTGGGGGGGATAGTGACGCAGCGGCAAGAAGGGGTCACAGAGATTGGTTATCGTGTACAGGAGAAGAGAAAATGAGTTTTAATCTTTGGTTTAATTTATGAGGTGGAATGGAAAAGACAAATATTGTAAGTTAGGAAGATGAAGATTGAGGCACTTGCAAATGTTAGACATTTTTTCAGGAGAATTTTTTTTTAGAAATTAGAAATTTCTCTCAATTAAGATAAAAGGAGATATTCAAAAACTGTAATTTCTCTCTCCTTAATTGAAGTGTCACATCAACATATTAAAAAAATCTATGATTCTCTTTATATATATTATAATATATATATAATATATATATATATATATATATATTATATATATATATATAATGATAATAATATAAAACTCAACACAAGATGATAATAATAACATGACAATTGCATTTTTGTACCTCATTTCAGTTCTTTATTATTATTATATAATGATAATAATATAAACTCAACACAAGATGATAATAATAACATGAAATTGCATTTTTGTACCTATTTCATTCTTTATTTCATATACCAAACTTATTCTAACAGTAACATTATTTTAATTTCATTACACGATTTTTCTCTTTGGAATTTGAAGTTGGTCTACTACATACACCCCATTAAACGACTTTTTAAATTGAATAAAACTTCATATATATATAAATATATAAAGGGGTAAAAATTATAATTACAAATTAAAATATTGGAGATAGTATAGAATCCATGGCCCTTTAGTCATGAGTATCTCATCTAAACTAAGGGTTATTGGCCTATTTTTTTTAAAAAAAAAAAGCTTATTCCACAGTTAGACAGAGTTGAATTCAACAAATGAAAATTTAAAATCTTTGATTGGTGATTAATCAGTATTAGAGTGATCTAGTAACTAATACTATCCTTTGGTATAGGAAATTAAGTTCGATTTCCGATACTTGCTACAACTACCTTTCCATTTTTGATAATCCCCAATGTGCTAAAACAACCTTAATGCACACACACTAATTGATTTGTTATTCTGTTAAGTTTGTTAAATACACAAGAAATATAGGTTAAGGAAAAGACTAAATTGACATCATCTCCAACGTTATGCTCGTAACTTCACCATGGACAGTGTGGTAAAATCAGATAAAGTACCCACCATTAACAGAAATTTGAGTGACGCGGGTAGGGGTTTGAATTGATAAACCTCGAAAGGTTTATGGCATTTGAAAGGCAGAAAATGCAAGAGAGAGAGAGAGTTTGGTAAATTAATGGGTTTTGTTGGTTGGTTTTGGGCTTTTGGGACGATCCCGATTCTCAAGCTCCCTCCCATGACCGCTTTTGCCGCTCACCCGGTCGTGTCATGCAACCCTATATGTAAGCTCACATCTTTCTCGGTTTCTATCTCTTCCTTTCTCTCTCTTACCTTTTAGGTGGTTCTCTCTTCTTCGGCTCAATGATCGACCTGTCCCACATTTAAGACCCTTCAATTATGCACTTTCAACTCGTCGTTTGATTTGCTCATTTGGGTATGTTCTTTTTTTAATTTTGTTTTTTGCTTCCATTCAATGCCTCATTTCTCACATGTTCTTAATTTTTACTTTGTCAAGGGAAATAAGAAATAGGATCTGAATCTAATTCTGGGTTGTCTTTAATTTGTTTGATTTATGCGTTTGTGTTGTAATATCTGTAATTTGTTTGATTTATGTGTTTGTCCATTATTTATAACGGGTTTAGTTTACTTGGTCTGGTTTCACCTTCATTTCTTCTGATTTATTGAAATCCCATTTCACTATCGTGTTAAAAGTTGCTTGTTTTTCTCCACAAAAAAACACCTTTCTGGTTGATTTTCGTTGTATACGTGATACTTGGATTCGTAGCGTGGTATATTAACATTTGGTACATTGTTTCAAATTTTCTAATCTTGCTCTGTGGATACTTTGATGATGGTTCTAATGGATGTGCATAATTGCATTTATTTGAATTTATGTTCAACGTTGGAATTAGTATTTGATAATTTGAAATGCAAAGATATTTAGGCTTTGAGACTCTTTCTTGAATTTGAAGCAGGATGGGTAGGGTTAAGCTAAAGATCAAAAAATTGGAGAACACAAATGGCCGTCAAGCGACCTATGGCAAAAGGAAACATGGCATCATGAAGAAGGCTAAGGAGTTATCCATTCTATGCGACATAGACATTATCCTTCTCATGTTCTCACCGACAGGCAAGCCCTCAATATGCAAAGGAAAGAAGAGGTACTTTTGTCTCTTATCATTTTTTTCATGATTGTCACATCATCATCAGTATCAGTGTTGATAATTGGTTGAAATTCCCCTTCTTTTTTGCAATTTGGAGTAGTATTGAAGAAGTCATTGCAAAATTTGCTCATTTAACACCTCAAGAAAGGGCAAAGAGGTAGAGTGAAATTCCTCTCTTTCTTTCTATAATCATCATGTATATAAGTTGATACATGGAGCCGGAATTTGATCGCTTTTTTTTTTTTTTAATTTCACTGGAACAGGAAGTTAGAAAGCCTTGAAGTAAGTCCTTTCTTACGTACCATTTCCCAATATCAACAATACCAATGTCTTTCTTTTCTCTTACCACTTAATTTCACTGCAGCAGTGCTATTTCATTTTTCTTGCTAACATGACCTTTTGTTTTCTTTTTGAGAGTCTAGGCGTTAAAGAAAACTTTTAAGAAGTTGGACCATGATGTTAACATACCTGAATTTCTGGGTACAAGGTATGTGCTATTCAACACGATACATCGTTGCATAGTTTGACCATATTTTAGGTAATGTATGTACTAAAGACTTCTTGCTTTCCATTTTTGTTTTTGGTTCAGTTCTCAAACAACAGAGGTATGGACTCAAAAAACAATTGCAATATAAATGTGGTCTCTTAAAACTCCTTATTCTTCCATAGTTAAGCTGGCGACATGTTTTACACACTTGAGATTGCATTCATCAGGACTTGTCGAACCAATCAAGGTTATTGCAGAATCAACTTTCTGAAGCACACAAGAGACTGAGGTGAACAGCTGCAAACCTTTGATTGTAGTATTATCCTTTCATGTTTTGTGCATATAGGTGTTGATTTAACCCATTACATTAACTGCTTGCCATCGCATACTAATTTTTATAATAATTTGAGTTTCTGCAGCTATTGGAGTAATCCAGATAAGATTAACAGCATAGAACATCTGGGTCAATTGGAAAATTCACTCAGGGAATCACTTAATCAAATTCGAGCACATAAGGTACGGTCATCCTTCAAAAAAGTTGCATTTATTCTTTGTTGAAACCGCAAAGCTATGCATCTAAAACGTTAACAAGAGTGATCATGGCATCATAAATATCTTGTTTGAAAGTCTGGAAATTTTTTGCTTATCTGAATGTTGAACAGGAGATCAAGGCAGGTCTTAATTTGATATCATAGTCAATTTTAATTAAATTGGACAGTTCATCTAAGAAAGTATCGAAGAAAATAATGTAATTAGACTCCCCAAGGTTAAAGAGTTTCTGCAGTTTTTAAGCAGCTGACTAAAAACGATGTTCAATGTTTCGAAAATTCTGAATAAAGGTAGCCCCTTGGCTGCAAGTAGATAGAAAACTGAATGACTTAAACTCCTCGTTTTAGCCTTTAAATCATGATATCTTTTCTTCATTGCTAACAGTTGTGCTAATAATTTGACTTCCTTCCAGGAATATTTAGGGAAACAACAATTTATGTCACTAGAATGCAATAGTCAGGTAAAGATTGGTCTAATACTTTCCTCAATTGATTTCTTTTGTATCTTCATTAAAATTATCATCTAAACTAGCCTTGCTTGCAGTTCCAAAATGGGATGCAGTTACCTTTCAGAATGGGTGCTGAGCAGCAGCTCCCACCAATGCCATGGATTCCTAATAATGACAATCAACAGATCGTGTTACCAGATGATCCAAATCTACTCCCTCATAGGTTAGTATGTCTCCTTAACAAAGCTTCTAATTTCTAGTTATCCAAGTGTTATCCTCCCAACAATCCTGAGATTTACTCACTCAAACCCATTTTTAGATGGAAACTCTAGTTTTTAAAGATCATTTGCACAGCACAAATATACAAACAAGTATGGATGCTTGCTCAAGACACTCAAACAGAGAGGTAGATACAAGTTACAATGGGTGGCACTAATTGGCCCCCACTAAAATTAAAAAATTTGGAGTCTTTTGTTGATAACAAATAGACCCCAACTGACAGGTGATTTGTCAATCTTCATGTCTGATATGTGATTAAAGTTGGGACATAAATAAAGGGTGATCTAGTCCACGGACATCCTACACTTATGGACTCTGGATGGGTTGATGTATACAGCCTTCCCTCTACTGCAAAAAGACTGTTTTTGTAGCTCAAACTTATGACTTCTAGATCATAAGTGGAGTAACTTTACCACCACATCAGAACCACCCTTCCCAATTATTCTACACAATTAATTATAACTAAGTGAAAATAAAAAATTAGGATTTATCTATTGGTGATAGTTCAAATGTTAACATAATTATAGTTTGTTGAAATATTTTTTTAAGTAAACATTTTGTAAAATGAAATAAAATACAAAATTCCGGCTCCACCGGTGTAAACACATATGGAAAGGAAGTGATATGAAACATGCATTTCTAGAAAGCATTTGATTTGTATACACCTTTTTGTAAGATAGGGTGACTGTTGAGGAAAAAATTAAGAGGGAAATTGAGATGGTGGAAGTGGCAGGAGATAAAAGTGAAGGCAAAGCGAAGGTAAAGATTAGCAAGGTAGTAGAAAGAAAGGATTTAGCAGCTGTAGATCATTCTGAAATGTAGCCTTGAACTGATTTATGGAGGAAATGGATACATTTAGCCGGTTCCAACTAGTTTGGGATTAAGGATTACATCACTTGAGTATAAGAAATGGTGCAAATTTTACAGGAGCAATAATAACAATGATTTTTACATTAATTATGATTATGTTAGCAGGTTTCCTATTATGTATTCTTAACACAATGAATAACATTTCTTTCTTTAGGGATGTCGAGTGTTCTGCAAGTTCCTCCTTTGGGAGCTATTCTGGTTACTTTGGAACAGGAAAAAGTTCAGAGCTATCTAATTCCAGTCAAGAAAATGGTGTGAGTGGCATTCTGAATGAATTGAGTGGAACTGCATCACTGAGGTTGCAGTTGGCTGGGCAGTATCCTTACTTGCCATACAATTTGAATTTGCTGAATGATACAAAATTCCAACCTGCAGCGGAGATGAACCTACAAGAAAGCCCTGTAGATTTTCATGTTAATGGAAGTTATGAAGCTCCCAAACCTGGGTATGACACCACCCCTGGTAGTTGGGCTTCTTCATCAGGACCATGTGCGGTTACCATGTTTGATGAGCATTTGTATTCCCGGGTAAGTTCAAACTTATCGTTCTCTGGCTCTATTAAGTAAACTTCCCCTTTTATTCCTTTTTTTTTCTTTTTTGCATGCTTTTTTAAATATTACATTCTCATTACTGCCTGATCCTGAATTGACTTAGAAGGAATGGCGTTGGCTATATAGTCAAAACTGTTAACTCTGTTAAACCTTTTGCACCAAATTAAAATGAATGTGGATTGGTATAGACTTGTTAGATTTTGTAGGTGGAATTTCAGTAGGATAGCTTATAGAATTGTTGATATCATATGATAAGTTGGAAGTTTTTTTTATTATAAAATGTTCAAGTCAATTCATAAGAAGTAGAATTTTAGTGTTACTGTCTCCAATGCTTTGATGCATATTTAAAATTTGTTTTTAGAAAGATCTTCAATACGGGAGCCACAATGAAGAATATTACTGAATTACCTGAGCAGTCGCTTCATTTGGGCTCATGGGAAGTGTGATTGTCTCATGAACTAGGATATCACATGATCTTAAGGTGAGTTTGATGATTTATTACTACATAGTTGCCTATCACAGTTGTCAAAATTTGAACATATCTTTCTTTGAGAGAAAGAAGGGAAGTGCTTCCAGTGTAGAATGTGATATCGGATTATCACATGGTTTGGATATGATTCCTTGATTTGTGGTACTTAGGCATCAAATTACTTGCATGATTCCACTTAATTGTTTCAGCCAATTTAGGGTCTAAACTTCAGTTACTATCCTTGGTAAATGCGATAGATTGCACTTCCTTCTGCCAAATTCGCACCACAGTATAATTTTTCTTTCTTACGTTACTTCATTTCACTGTTACCCTTGGTAATAGCCCAAGTATGTTTCTAACAAAAATCTTAACCATATATGGCAGCAACCCAACTGAGCTTCATGGATGATATTACTGTTCAGCCCCTGATCAAGTAGCTAGATAGCTTGGCCGCATTTTACACGAAAGATTACATATCCCACCAAATGAAGCTGCTGAAATTGCAGTTGGAATTTTAGGCATGCAAATGTGAGAAGCAGCCATTGAGATATATACATAATTATGTTTGGCATGATAACAACAGCATAGGAATGCCCTGACGTTAGAAAGAGAATGGTGCCCGACTCCGACTCCATCGAACCAGGCAGGCATCCACTTTTGTGAGATTACAGTATCTTCTGTATACAAACTACATATATAAATAGTAGGTTTTGCGGAGTTAAATCTTGTTTTTTCTTTTTTTTCCTTTTTCTTTTCTTTCTTTCTTTCTTTCTTTTTTTTTTTTTTTTTTTTTTTTATAGAAGGTTTTGCGGGAAGTTAAATCTTGTTTTTTCTTTTTTTTTCCTTTTTCTTTTCTTTCTTTCTTTCTTTCTTTTTTTTTTTTTTTTTTTTTTCCGTGTGGACGACGGTCACTTGTGGTAACCTGGTTTTTTTTTTTTTTTTTTTTTTTTTCCTGTGACGAGGTCACTTGTGGTAACCTGGTTACCGCCTCCTTGTCTTCCCCAAGTGTGTCTTGAGCTGTAAATTAAAGAAAAAAAACCATATATAAATATATAGCAATAACCATATAGAAATTGTTGTAAGTCAAAACTACATCTATGAATTCAGTTTATCTGTAAACAATTTCCTCTTTTTTTTTTTTTTCTCTCAAATGAGAGTTCTAATTCAGTGATTATACAGAAATTGTTCTGTCAGGAGACTCCGCTTTCATAGAGATCATTTCTGTCTCTTCCTTGGCCAGCCTGGGATATACCAGTAAATAAAACTGTCAGATCATTGTCCTGTAAACAATTAATTCTTGTTGAACTTGTTCCAGCTACAAAACAAAACAATTAATCATCTTAGGTTTAGCATTACATTCAAATTATATATAGGTATAAAAAATTGACTCATAATGTTATTTTTGGTAAAACATAATTATATACATGACAACCTAACCACCAGGAGGTGAGGTGACATTGAAAAAAACCAAAGATACTCACAGCTCAGCTAGATTTTGATATGATAGCAAATAGAAGTACCCATAGAATATGTTTGTAAAGGCAAATGATCCTAGCCAAGTGGTAGGGGTGATGTCCTGAGTTTCCATGTTGGATTTTTGACATTAGAATAATAATTTCAATTTGTATTTCTTATTCTCTATGGGCTCTGAATTGTCGTGTCTGCTGCTAATATTACAGAGTATAAAAAGATAAAGATTCATAGTATATAATATCGAATGAGAAAAAAAAAAAAATGCAAAAGAATATGTTTGTAAAGGGTCCATGCGAGTAATTTTCATATTTCACAATGCAAATCCAGTATGAATATTTACTTCCTAAGCCCAATATATTACTGTGAATATGTGTTTGTCATTGTCGTTATTTCAATAAATTAAGGTTTTATAAGGACAGCGAATGTCTCTTTTAACTGCTTTTTTTTTTTTCTTCACTTTTTTACTTTTTCCAATAGAATCTCATGAATAACCTAATCAACAGAAGGAGAAGGAAGGAGCAGTAAATTCTTTGTCATTAGTTGACCCGTGAAGATGAGAGTGGTAAGTAACTTTAAAATGTGGGAAGTCGCATGAGTAGTTATCATAGTCCTATAATTACTACACTCTTCTCTTGGTAAGAAAAAAAGAACACGGCATAAGGATAGGAGCAAGTTTATCTGATAAATCCCGATATTTTATAAGATCATCGAACAAGCAAGCGACACGTGTTCAGCGAGATATGCGGCGAGTCACGTGGGTTGTGTCCTAAAACTACTTACGTGCCGCAGTGGCGCAGTCGCCTGTTAGAAAACGTCGACTGGTTGGTTAAGAAAACTGGCTTGCACGTGGCTCGAGATATCAGCTTCGTGTCAGTCCTTAACCACGTGAGTTGACTCATCAATAGTCGTGCCTGTTTCAAATTTTAAATTCTAATTTATCTTCTCTTTTCTTAACCAAATAAATAAATTCACCCTAAATAATTATGATGCTTTTTTTTTTTTTTAGCAAATATACAAATTCACCTTATTATTTTTCATAAAATATTTTATAGCACCAAAAATTTCATCGGGATTAACTTTATCAACAAATTTACCAATTTTAATGATCCAAAATGGCTTCAATTTTGTTTGTTTTTACAATGTGAGCCAATTTTTTTTAATTTTGATAATTAATACAGTAAATTTATTTTTCTCGTTAAAATTATACCTTCCGTCTATGTTTATTAGAAAATATTAATGTTGCTGTCAGTTAAGTCCATAGTTCGATACATCATCAACATTAGAAAATGATAAATCTATAATTGTCAGCCAACATTAGCAAAATAAATAAATAAATTCTCACAAAAAATCTGAACTTTGGACGTTTATAATTTTAGCCTTTTTTTAAAAAAAAAAATTTACCATGTTTGTTTCATTATACTTGCATATTATATACTTATTATATACTTAATTATAGTTTTTAATTATATAAAATTTAAATTTTCTTAAATGATTCTACAAATTACAATTTATTTCTAACATGTAAACTTTACTATTTAATTATTACTATACCACACTATACAAAAATAAGAATTTAATTCTAAAATAATATTATAACACACAAATACATTATATATTTTTCATTTAACTTAAATTTGAAAATTTTGAAATTTGAAAACAATTATAATAACCCAAAATAATTTATTTTTAAAATGAATAAATTATAAGATTAAATATTTTCAAAATCCAAAAATTTAAAAAAAGTCATTACCTCATTTGCTAAAATTAAAAGAATTGATTAAAATAAATAAATATCAATATATTTTTCATTATTTGCCCACCCCTTTTTGTCTAAGTGGCGTGGTAATGTGGTGCTTACATGTCAAACTATAGATCCTACTAACGGATATGTCATTAATTTTTAATCTAAATATATATATATATATCAACCAAAATTTTTCTAAAAAAAATGACATGAAAATCTTTTTTTTTTTTTTTTTTCCCAATATTAATCTATAGCAACGAAATCTAGTAAATCAGAATAATTTTTTTTTTTTTTTTTTTCCATGATCTAATCTTAGCAACGGAATTCTAGTAAAAAATAAAGAAATTGAGAAATTAAAATAGATGGCTTCAAAATTTGTACTTGTAAACTTAAATTGACGTATAACTTTAATACAAAAACTAATTCGAAATTTCCAAGAAACTTCCTTATCGTCTTCAAATTTATTTGAAGCTACAACACGCTGTTCATTCAAGTCTTTTCATAAGTCTAATGCATTGATGCAATGAATTGATCTAATCTAATTTAAGAAATATTTATGAATAAAGAACATATAGTCTTATATTCAAAAAATGTGTAAAAATAGTCTTTGAAAATTAATAATAATAAGAAAAAAGATGAATTTAGACGCAAACAAAATGTAACTTTCATTTTGTTATCTTATCTAAACCAATGAATCAAATTCTATTATTATCAACACAACAATAAAGATAATTCAAGTTGCATGTAATTAATTAATTTAATTTAATAAAAAGAAGCCATCCATTTATTATCTTTAGGACCCCTTTGGACCACCCAATTGATCCAAGTTTATCACTCAATAACTCTGGATATGGGGTTTGGATTCCCATAAGATTTTCCCAGAACTTAAGAAGGAAAATAAATATTAAAATGGAAAAGAACAAAAAAATAAGAAAAATTATCTGAATTTTCGCATCTCAGATGGCTGGCGGTGAAGTGGAGATATATAAGAATAGAAAAGAGATATGGATCTTGGACCCAATCTTGTTAGAAAGAGACCTAAAAGCTAGGAGACAAAATAAAGGGACATTGATATGAAATGTCTTAGCAGTTTTATTTGAATCCAGGCAACTGAGACCATGCATGCAAACAAAGTACAAAACTGATGCATGTAATTTCCTTCTCCACACACACACACACATGTATGTATGTATGTATATGAGTTGCTTAAACTTATATACTATCAAATTTTGATTCTTATTTACAATAAATTCAAGTAACCATCCATACACAAGCAATTAACATCAATAACTTCAGTTTAATTACTCAGAATTTGGGATTTTAAAATAATTTAGCATTTAAAATAGTTAAAACGTTGTACTAAAAAACACATTCAAATTCTCTATCACGTGTCGTCTATGCAAAAATTTTGAGACATTTTTATAACTTATTAATCCTTGTAATCTTAATTTAAGTTTTAAAGTTAGACTTGATTTTCTAATATGGTATCAGAGTCCATTCTTTCTTCATTTTCTTTCTGCCTTCAGCGAACGTGGGACCTTAAAACCTAGTAGGTTATAAGATTAGGCTTGGGTTTGTAATAAAAACATTATATTAAATCAAATCATAACATTAACTATTCTGCATATATATACAAATGTATTCCACTAATTGTTCATTATTTTTAGTATTTGATGGTAATAGATTACAGAAAGCATAACTCCTATTTGAATCATTGAGGACTTAGATAATTGTGTTTGCATTGTGTGTGAAAATTAGATTGAAATCATTGTTTCCTCTCGTGTATTAAGACTCGAGAGTTATAGTTGGAAGTGTGTATTCATGTTCTTCCCTCTTCATCGGTCGAACTAGGTTAGTAAGGAAGAAGTTTAGTTTTGTTTAATGGATTATAAGTTGCTTGGAAGACTTTATATTTTTGTGACAACATGGGCATTTGGTTAAGAAGGAACCAATATATATATATTTTTTTCAAATATTAAATTTGAGAAAGATAAGATGATGAATTGAGTTAAAATTAGAAGATTTTAGATATTAAAGTTACGTTCTTCTCTTTGCCATTTTGCTTAACTGGTTGAATTTCTTTTCCATATTAATTTTTAAGGTCAGGCTGCTTAACAAGGTTGAAAGATACTTATATAAGTCTATTTTTTTGGGACCCATTTGATGATGAATGAATATGTTGTAGCCATTAACACCATTACACTAACAATTACATGTTTGTTTTTAACAGAAACCCTAAAGAATGAAAAAAAAAAAAAAAAAAAAAAAAAAAAATCATCTTTAAGCAAAGTAAATTTGGATGTTCTCCTAATATTGGTAATTAAAGATTCTTTGTTTAGATAAATTTGGAGTCTTTATGCTTTTTTTTCAGCAATATTTTACACATACTTTTCAAAATTCCTATTTAATTTGGGGATTACAAGGGAAAAAAATTAATTAGGTGAAGGTGTTAATTGCCTATCGAAATTGGGCCGTTGAATTTGGATTGTTTGAAGAGCCCACATTGGGGGTCCAATATACTTAATTTTTCGTCTTTTATTTATTTTATTTTATTTTTTATATACATATTGACCAATGTGTTGAAATTGTAGCTAAGCAAAAAGGACAAAAAGGAAAAAAAGGAAAAACTACAAACACCAAATTTAATAATAGATAGAAATTCTTTTAATTTCCATTAATAGTAGATGGAAATACGAAATTTACAATTTACTCACATAGTTAATCAAACTTCAAGCATAGACAACAAAGGGCATAATGGACCCAAAGTTGATTACAAATATTATCTCCCCAACAATGGGAAGCCAAAGTAAGAAAAAAAAAATTTTCTATTCAAGTACTAGTGGCGGGTGGTAATAGTCCACCTCTGCCCTTCTTTCTGCCATTTTCATAGCAGAAGAAAAAATGAGAAGACCCTTAACACTAATAAAAAAAAGGTCCCTCCGCCTATAGGACATCCCATACAATTCCTCAAAATGAGATATTAAGGGCACCTTAAAATAAAGCCCTTTTCCCATTTTGACCTCTTAACCTTCCAGACAGACTGTATATTACTAACATACCCTAGTATACTAAAGTCACACACTAATTACTAATACTACTTTTGATAACCCAGTATATATTATAAGATTATAACAACATAGAGTAAAGACCTAACATACTTATTATATTCTTTGGTTTTCTGGTGAAGGACATGTAGCCCTAACGGAATTGAGCACCAGAGTAGGTCTGCCCGAAGGACCAGCTAGGAGGAGCAACATTGTAGGACACCACACTGCGACCATCACTAGTAGTGACCTTAAATGAAAGGGCTTGACCATTGAGATAATTGTTGCTTTGCCAATTTTGCCCCCAGTTTCTTGACATCGACTGCCAACCGGTTCTGGACCCTTTGATGGCTACAGCATGTACATCACCAGCTCCACCAACGTTTGTGATTAGTACCAAGTTGAAGTAAGAGTGTCCATTGATTGTAAACCTTATGCCTCCTCTTCTTCTACAGGGTACCCTACAAAAACCACCCCACCAAATTATTAACTACCAACATGTAACAAAATTAGAGACCTAATTAACCGAATAAACTACAATTTGAATTGAAGCTATTTTGTTACAAGAACATGTGACTTGAAAAATACCTTCTGTAGGCCACAGGAACAATGCCAGCTCTGTATTGGGCAATGTGTTGGAAGACAGGCTGAGAAAGGTCAAAATGGTGGAGAGGAGGGTTGCACCAGCCGCCGGCGTTGTTGGGTAAGGCATTGTTTGGAGGGCAGAAATTTGTGGCAGTGACCACAATGGAGCCAGGAAGGCACCATTTTCGGTCATTAACACATCTAATTTCAAAACAAGATCCACAGCTTAACCCACTGTTAAACAGAGCTGTGCTTAAAGCAGCAGTGTTCGTTCCATAACCTTCACTATATAAATTCCCATAACCACAAGCCCCACCTGCAAAGATCCAATTTTTTTTTACCAGAATCAACAAAATTGGCCAAATGTGCATACTAAAAAACCTTAAACATATATTAAAAAGAATTTCCATTTGTGTCCATACCCATTGTGCCTGAAGCATCACCACCTCCATAAAAGGTTGCATGAGCATTAATCCATCCACCACCACCATACCCATTGACAGATGAGACCATTGCAAGAAAACCCAGAAAGAAAATCCCAAAGAATGCCATTTTCCTGCACAAGAATTAAGTTAAACCAAACAATTAGCATCTTTGTTAACATGGGTCCGTTTGAAAATAAGTTGAAATGAAAATGTGAGGGGAAAAAAGGAAAAGGTTCTTTCACAAAAACTGTACCTTGAAGAAAAATAAAGAGAGGAAGAAAGCTGGGGGTAATGTAAGACGATTGAGTGAAGAAAATGGGCAGGGGTGTGGAGGAATTTATAGAACTTTGGTGGGAGTATTAGCCACCGTTAATAGTCTTACAACTAACACACACTTTAAGCAGAAGGGGACCATCAACTGCTAGGGTTTTGTATAAAGAGTAATTTTATTTAATTTTTATTTTTAATAAAGTGTAGTGATTATTAAATTAATATTGAATTTAAAACAAAAAAAACAAAAAAAAACAAAAAAAAGTTCCCATATGTTCTCTTAAGTGCATGTGAAGGCTGTTTTGTAGGTTCAAAGCGTGTGGTTTTGTAGCTTTCCTAATGGGAAATTCCCTAAATCCAAGTGGGTCATAGTGATTTTTCCCCTCGATGGTTAATAACCTCCATAGCCACATGCTCTTGCGGGCAGCGCCCATTTGCCGCAATTGCCCTTTTCTCCTTTTTCTGCTCTATCTTGCAATCTTGCTCAATTTTTTTTGTCGTTGTGCATGAAAACGTACTCAAGTTAAAAATAAATGGAAAAGAGGTAAATTTAGAACAAGGGAAGAGCCTGATATTTTTGAGAATGGTAAATTTTTGTATATAGAAAGACCATAATTACTTGTTGACATGTAAGTTACAGTATATGCTTATTTTTGAATTAGTAAATGTGTAAATATGTTAGCTAGCATTAGGTAGGTACTTACGTTACGTCTCTCCACATTTGGAACAGATGCAAGTAGCTAAGGGATATTCTGCAATATGGTGCGGTAGTTTTAACGAAGAGCCGTCCATTGAGACTTAAGAGTTGGAGAGTGTGGCGCAATTTAATACCGAATCTATTTAGGTAAACCAATTAAATGAACATTTTTGACTCACACCTCTCCGTTGTATTTCATTTTTTCCGCTTCATTACTTGCATTTATTAATTTCACAATTTAGTTTTGAAATTTAAGTTTTTCTTTTTGTTGTGGGTCCAAATGTTATGTGCCCTGCATTCCATTGATGCATCTAAAACAAGTACACTTTTGTTAGGAGGAGAAATTAATAATTATATAAATAAATAAATAAATAGAAAGAACCCTCCACCACATGCACCTTCACTTGTAATATATATGTACTGAACGATTATAGAGGTTGTTACGGAAAAAAAAATATTTATATGTTTAAATTTATAAATCTTGCAAACATTTTGGGACATCCAAAAAAAATAATAATAAGTAAACAAAATGGGACGAATGGAGTAGAAGAATTAAGTAGTGTGATGAAATATATCCCAACAATATATTATTAAATAATGTACTTCCTCCATTTTATTATTTTAGGTAAAAAAATTTTTACACAAACATTTAGGAAGTAGTTAAATTGGTTTTTTTTTTTCTTTTTAACCCTCAGTGCACTAATGAATAAGTGAATTAGCATTAAACACAAATTATAAATGGATTATATAGTCTTTCATAAGGACTGCGTAGAAATTTATATACAATTAATGCATTTAATAATAATAAAAAAAAGATAAAATGGACTCTATAGTTTAGGCAAATTCTATTTCTATTAAATTTGCATATGTAAGTAAAATTGCCAAAATATAAATCTTATTGAAAGTTATGAAATGGAAGGATTATATATATATATATATATAACTCCTAATTGTATTGATGTATTTATCTATACATAGTTTATGAGTTAAAAAGTAATTCACCTCTATTACACTCCCTCCGTTCTATTTAGATAAAAAAAGTTGAATTTGTACAAAGATTAATGTGACAGCTAAATTATAATTTTTCGTTATTTTTTTTCTAATATACCCCCAATATAACATTAACTCCTATTTATATTTCTACGTAAAGACACATATAGATTGGAGAGAAAATAAGTGTATTAATTTCAAATTACGTCATTCAATAAATGATTTTGGGTAAGAACTACTTGTATTTAGAAATATAGGCATTTACATTTAGCTCCTCACTTAAATTAAACAAGTCAATAAAAACAAATGATCCCTTACTCTTACTCTAGTGGTAAGAATGATTGGTCCTAGGTTCAATTTTTGACATTGTAATAATTAATTTCAATTTGAATTCATTTCCTTTAATGGGATTGTTGTAACTTCTGCCGATAGCACCGAACGTTATATAATTTGCTGTATATAACATCGGAAAAAACAAAAAAACAAGTAAAGATTTACGTACACTCAATTTATTGCGTATAAATTGACTTATAAATTGGTTGCAAAAGTATCACATGGACAGTGTAAAAGCCATTGTGTGGTTTATTTATTTAATTAATTTTATAATAAGCAGTGTCAGGATTTATTAATTGTAAAATGGTATTCCCATCACATTTAAAATAAACAGTAAATAAAGATTTATTAATCGACAATAAGATCTGCAACAATAGCCTTAACTTGGATCCTGGTACTGATTGACGAAATAAGAGGTCCGTGATTCCCGCTCTATTACACTATCAATTCAACTTATTAACTCATTAATTAATAAATTAAGTGTATACGTGTACATAAAGTAAGTGTATCAGTGAATTAACACATCGAATCTTCTTCGTCAATATCATTATTTTTAATAGTACTTGCTTTAAGCTTTGTATTTTCCCTACTTGCTATTTGAGTTTAGGTAAGATTTAAAATATCGGTTACAATTGTATCAGACGTGAAATGAGATAATCATATTTCTTTTTGAATTAATTAAAGGTCTTCATTTTAAACTTTGAGTATGGAATCTCTTTAAATATTTAAAAGAGAGATTCTCTTTTTATAGAATTTATCCGGAGCGTATTCGAAATAATGGAATGAGCGGACTTGATTAAAAAATAAAAAAAAATATCGGTTAAAATGAGTTTTGATTATTTAGTGCATAATAATAATAATAATTGTTTCTTATGGCTGTCTGGTTGGAAGTTTGAATCCGGTCAAAATTTAAATTAGCCAAATTTGATTTTATAATTTTTGAGAAAAAGGTAAAACTAAGGTGCAGTGGCGCAGAGAAAAGGCATGGGCTGAGCAGCCCAATTTTCAAGTGAAACTCGTGCCAAGTCTAATCCCAATTCGCACCACTCCCTATAGGGTCAAAATCCTCAAAATTCACATCAAAAATTAATTCATTAATCCAAAAAGAGTTATTGAATAAGTATTTCTATTTGTATGCTAAGTAAATATATATAAATTAAGAGTAGTATTATAATTTATGTTTTTCATAAATTAATTAAATACAAATATCATATATTTTTGGGAAAAAAGCTATTTAGTAATTAGAACCAAACACAAAAATTTAACATTTCTAAAACTCCATTTTCTTAATGAAGTATTTTTATAAAATTTAAGTTTTTCATAAGAGTTTTAAGACAAATATGATTATTTATAAAATTTGTATTTTCGTGTCATATATATTAAATAAAAACCCTTTTTTTATAAAATTGTTCATATTTTATATATAGAATAGTTAAAAAAAGATGAATGAAACAATTTGATTTGAAAATTGAACTGCAATTTGACAGCGACTTTGGATAATAGTAATACATATATACACACACACGAGATAAGATTTGAAATGGATAGGCGCCTTTCTTCACAACCTGAAATCGACTTTTGCGTTTCGCTTTTTTACGGCTCTACCGCTATTTGTTAGAGCCTAGCGGCTGCACATGCTTTGCTTTTGGCTTTTCTCTATGCGTTTAAAATCCTATTTGGCTTCTTCCTTTCTCTATTTTTATTTTCAAAATTTATTCGCGGTACAGTAAAACCCAATGGGAACAAATGGTAAAACCTAAGTATTAAACTTTTGCTCCTCAACAGCTTTTAAAATGATATTTAATATTTTGATTATATGGTAAAACCTAAGTATTAAACTTTTGCTCCTCAACAACTTTTAAAATGATATTTAATATTTTGATTATAATCAAAATATTAGTTTATTATTTATGTTGTTCATTAGTACAGTGTTTATATAGCTATATTATTTTTTCTAAAAATTAATTAATAAAACAATCAACGGTTATTAAAATTGTTAATATTACTAAAGAGCGTAAAAAAAACATTTGGTTTAAACTATTCAGCTATGTTTTAAAGTTTTTTTATTAATTGGTAGGTAATTTATATTTATATTACGTTTGAATTTCATTATCGTTATCAAATGATTATTAATAAAATTATTTTTTTTGGAATTAATTTTATTGATAGTCATTTCCCTTAAATACTATATTAAAATTTAATTAGCGTATTTTTTATTTACATAAAATATTAAGATAAAAAATAATATATTTACCATAAAAATTAAACAAATGTATATTATTTACCGTAATATACAAAAAAAAATACCCTTAATTAATACTTAGTTTTACATTTTAGCATTAGCAACTGTCAAAATTTTAATAAACATCAATATTTATCGACTAATTGTTATCGAGCAATCAGCTACAGCAACTCATGTCAACTTATTTGAACAGCTAAAATAAACCGATCCTAAATTTGGAAGGACAAATTGGTATTTTAGAGCAGTGAACTTTAACCGCTAATAACCAACTTGTCGTTTGAATGAATACATCAAAACTGCAAAATTCCAACCTGCTTTTTGCAAGCATTCTCTCCCTATGCTTTATTGGTGTTTTGTCTGAAATAAAAAAAATCTGGACCATCCATTTAGTCAAGGATAGCCCTCACCAGTCACCAGTGTCCAATGTGGATTCCACAGCAGATTTTTCCTCCTTTTGTGTTCCGTCTCAGCTTTCACTGTTGCTAAGGATCTTCTGCTCTTACTCTGTCCAAAAGAAACAAATTCTCAAATCATGCTTATTGTTGACTCCCACTCACTAAGAAAAGCATCCAATTCCTTCACTTTTCCTTTCCTTTTCTTTTTCTTAATTATTAATTATAAGATTAAAAAAAGTTAACTTATTTCCAAACTTTTTACCTTGAAAGTAAATTTGATCAAAAGAACAACTTACTTTTATGAATTTTTTTTTTTGAGAATTTTTTGTTCAACATTTACTCAATACTTTTATAAATAATCTTACCGTTATTTAGATGTATGCATTAAATTTGTCTCAATTAAATGAATATTAATTAAATTTATAATTTAATTAATGATTCATATTTTTTAGAATTGAAATAATTCAATTATTTTTT